TCCTCTTTGTCAAGAAGCGACACTGAGAGAAACCAACCTAACAAATAAGTGGCCATTTTGTGCACAGACAGTTAGGCACATGTGCACATACACACACGCACGCACAGTATAAAAGCTATCATACACAAATGGATCCATTCTTCCTGCAACAGCAAAACCAGTTTAAAGCTCTCTGAGTTTTTAAGATCTAGTTACCAAGTAGAACTTTAATAAAGCCCCATCCTGACCAATGGAAATGAGCATCAGTTTTGCTCCCATTTTTTTAAAGTTCTCATGCTTTTTCTCTTTGCTACTCCACAGCTCCACCCAGAGAAGATTGCACATCGGTCACACACCTGCCCAATGCCTTTGAAGGACCAATTACCATAAGTACGTATCTCTTCTGACTTTGATGGAATGTCCCCATTCTTGGGAAAGGGCTCAGGTCAACTTTCTGTCTGTGCTTCAAAACTGAGCAGGAGAGCAGTCATTTCCCCAAGGCTGGGGACATTGGCTGTGATGCACTGTCCCTTCCCCTTTTCCTGCAGTGGCTTGAAACTGCGATTCGGTTGACTCCAATACATTGTTCCTCAAACTGCAGTCTTTTGAAAACCACTTTCACTTTTTTGGACACCTCTGTGTACACAGCATAATCATTTACTTGCTATTTTTCACTTAGTTGGCCCATTCTTTTCTAGTTAAAATATGTTTATTTAAAAAAAAAAAACCTTTAAGGGTGCCTGGGTGGCACAGCTGGTTTGAGTGTCCGACTCTTGATTTCGGCTCAGGTCTTGATCTCAGTGTTGTGAGATGGAGCCCCGCGTCAGGCTCTGTGCTCAGCGGGGAGTCTGCTTGAGATTCTCTCTCCTTCTCTGCCCCTACCACTCATGCACACTCTCTCTCAAATAAATAAATCTTAAATAAATAAACAAACAAACAAACCCCTGCGAATGGAATCCCTGGTCATAAGCAGAGGGTATCCTTAAAAATACACTTAAGTGTAGGACAAATTAAATAGTCTTCTTAAATTCTAGCTGCTGAAGGTTCTGAGTCTGAGGCGTGTTCCCTCTCATGGGGGAGATTAATTAGTGTTAGGGGGAGATGCATTCCAGCCCCCTAAATTTTCTGTTTGATTATTTGTGTATTGGAAGATAATTCTAAAGGGCATAAGCTTCGTGGTAGGGATTTCAACATTATTTATACCACATCCACCTAAAATCATCTTGATGATCCCAAGACGTAGGCATCTGGCACTGTATGAAACAAAAAAGCTCAACCAAAATTTTCAAAGAGGTCAACTTATTAACCCTGATCTTCTGGCCTCTGAACCTCACTTTTTTTTGAGAAGTGTCATAGTGCTGAAGAGGCCTGACTTCTGCCTCCTAAGAGCCAGACCCCTCAGTGTGCAAGGGAACAGTGGTGTCGGGTGGCAGAGAGATAAGAATCATCCTGGCCACGTAAATCCAGCCCCCCACCGTTAGGCCAAAAATTGTCCCTGACCCGTGCCACATGGAAAGGGAGGCCCACAAGGTGAGATGTGCTGCCTCAGACAGGCTTGGTTGGAAATCTTAGTTCCTTACCACCCGGGTGATCTCAAAGGAATCACTTACTCTGAGCCTCAGTTTTCTCATCTGGATAAAGGAACAACATGTGAGATTTGAAATGAAAATGAAGAAAGAGAATATGTCTGATGCATGCCAGGACCATAGTCATGTTCAATAAATGTCCCATTTCCTTGGTCCCCACCAATGCCTTTTAAAGGCCAGACCTGTACAAGTTGGTCATATTTTTTTTATCAGATCTTCGTCTGCAGAGATTATTAGGGTGTTTGAGACTTCACAATATTTTTTGAAAGATTTGTTTATTTATTTATTTATTTACTTATTTATTTGAGAGGAAGACAGCAAGCGAAGGGAGGGGCAGAGGGAAAGAATCTCAAGCAGACCCCGGGCTGAGTGCGGAGCCCGTGCTAGGCTCGATCTCATGACCCTGAGATCATGACCTGAGCTGAAATCAAGAGTTGGACGCTTAACCGACAGAGCCACCCAGGCACCCCTGCAATATTTTTTAATTTATGTTTTACTAATAGTTCCACTTGGGCAAGCTAGATAGGTGGACAAAAGGAACACTTAGTCCAGTGCAATATAGCAGAAAATAATTTTAGCTAAATGCACACTTAAGCAGTGAGTGGCCCAGGCTTGAAGGCAGCAGATCCTTTCAGGGAGGACCAATGAATGAATTCGGTCTTGCTTTTCCCTCTCCTGTCCATTCTAGATATTTGCTTGTTTAAATCAAAGATTTTGACCTTTACATATCTCTGTGCCTCTTGAATTCAAGGTTGAATCTCACGGAGGATGGGCAAAGTCTCTGTCAGCATTTAGGCATGCTGATTTCTTAGCCAGAGTAGGCGTTATCTTAGACTGACAAAATTTGCCCCTTAGAAAAAAAGCCTCGGGTGCCTGGGGGGCTCAGATGGTTAGGCATCTGCCTTCGGCTCAGGTCACGATCCCGGGGTCCTGGGATCGAGTCCCACATCGGGCTCCATGCTCCTTAGGAGCCTGCTTCTTCCTCTGCTTCTCTCTCTCTCTCTCCCTCTGTCTCTCATGAATAAATAAATAAAATCTTAAAAAAAATATTTAAAAAAGCCTCATTCTTCACAATGTGCAAATATATATTCCCTGTTGAGACCGCTAACCTCTTTGTTTCCTACTTCAAATTCTTTCTAGAAGTAGATGGAATTAATAGCAACAGATTTTACATACACTTGAGAAGGGAGAATAGGAACCAGTGGGAGAATTATCATTTACTGAGACCACCTCAATCTGAAATCCTATGCTAAGCACTTTACAAACCACGTATCATATAGTGCTCATAGCAAAAGGTAGTAGCATCCCCTTTTGACCAACGACAAAACTGAAGCTCCGTACCAGCTTTGTCTAGGGGCACATAAAGCTGGGATTCAAACATGGGGACTTCCAAACGCACCCTCGTCCCTCCTCCCCATTTCCAGGGTGTGCGGGTGGGCGGGGGAGGGCAGACTTTCTTAGTGCATCACCTACTCCCCGCCCCTGTCCACTAGACAGATAGTTAAGTGTTGTTTTGCTCAATAACGAAGAAAAATAGCTTTGAAGTCACTGTCTTATATGATAATCCATAGTCTTTCCTATACTCAGAAAATGTCAGGGTGCCTTGGTGGCTCAGTCGATTAAGCGTCTGCCTTTGGCTTGGGTCATGATCCCGGGGTTCTGGGATCGAGTCCTGCATCGGGCTACTTGCTCAGCCTGGAGTCTGCTTCTCCCTCTCCCACTCTGCCTGCTTGTGCTTTCTCTCTGTGTCAAATAAATAAATAAAATATTTTTTTAAAAAAAGAAAGAAAATGTCAGCTGTCAGGTTCTGAAAGTGCCTTCCCTTTCTCCCCAGCCATTGTCAACCGCGATGGCACCCGCTACAGCCAGACAGGTGAATACAGAACGAACCCTGAAGACATCAACCCCAGCAGCCCCACTGACGATGATGTGAGCAGCGGATCCTCCAGTGAGAGGAGCACTTCTGGAGGCTACAACATCTTCCACACCCACCTTCCAACTGTATACCCGACCCCGGACCAAGACAGTACGGTGGTGTCTGACAACCCAGAGCATACCCCCATTACCAGTAAGGAGAATGAATCACTGAGCTTTCCAATGGCGATTTGTTTACAAAACCGTCTCTGATCTTCCTGGGTGATCTGCACTCCCTTGTGTATTGATTGTCTCCTGTCTCGAGAAGTTGGGGACCTCCATTGTTTGGGGAGGGAGGCTATTATGGGAGTCCGTGCCCTGTATGCATAGCCTGCTATTGCATACAATTTTTTTTTTTCCACCTACGCCTCTGTTTTGCTTCCCTGGGGACAAGAAGTTGCCATACTGGAAGTCTTGTCCCAGGGATGTGGTGACAATTCAAGCACGTTCCAGAAGGGATTTTTACTTTTACATGTTTCCTTCTTGTTCTTATCCACCTTTGGATAAGATTGTCTTCATAAAGTTGGGATCCTAATGGATGCATACCATCACATCTGTTTTTCTCAACTTTATGTTTTTATGTTTTAACTTGATTTAGGCGATATTATTGATGGTGCAATATTCAGTCCTATTCATCACCCCTGGTTTACTAAACAATTCCTTTGTTTTTGGTCTAAGGAAGCATATCTGAAGGAGTTATCTGATCAAATCCAATCTGCTTAAAAGTTGTCTATCCCAGCCTGGAGGGGAAGGCTGTTAATACTTGCTTGGTAACGTGGATAATTCGTGACTTGAGGACTCCGAGAGCGGAAATATGTCAACATTGCTTTCGATTTCTTTGGGGTTTTGCCCTTTGTGCTCCACTTTTCGTTGGAAAGTGTTTGCCTCTCCCTCTGGCCTCCTTCACTTCCCGCTTTGCTTTTTCCCTATGGTTTGTTTTAAAACAGGTTTCCAGATTGGCTGCATTCCTTCTGTGGAGGATTATTCAAACCGAAGTAGGGCATCTGCCTCTTGAGCAGCTTTCCTAGTATGGTGTGGATTTTCTTTTGTCCTGGCTCTGGCTCTTAGAGGGTGGGACTCTAGTCTTCAAAGAGTGTGGCAGACATTCACTGGTTTGGGAATGCTCAACATAGGGCTTTTCTCTGTGTCTTGTCACCCAGAAGGCAGGGCAGCCTTCAGAGCACTATGATTTAACCTAAGGTTACTTGCTCAACAGTGTTTTAAATTTCTATGAGCAGCTTGCTAAGCGGGGGAGGGGGGCTGGTACAAAGGGGCCCGAAGTCTGGTCATTCTCTGCAGATCCTTTGAAGCATTTTCAGGAAGCAGATGTTTTCAAACTGCTCAGGCTTTCCCAGATTACTGGCTCTCTAGAGATTGTGTCACCTCGTCTGTCATCCCACGGATGACCCTTCTGGAGAGGAGCTTCTGCAAACCCAGCAGGCTGTCCTGTCGGCTGCTGGTTGCTCCTGAGTCCCTTGCCTTGCTAAAGTAACCATGTGGAAGGCGCCTATCATCAGGGCATGCAATTTTGTCACATGTCGGCAAACATAGCAATTAGTGGTCTCAGCGAGAGGCAGATTGAGTCTACTCCAAAGTACTATTTCCTACCAAAGAAGAAAATCGTGGCAAAATATATCTTTTAGGAACTAGGTGAAATTCACATTGAAGCCATTATTAGCCTATATCAAATAGTGAGTATTGCACATGTACTTTAGAAAGGCAACAAGGACAGTTAATGAACAGTCAGCACATCTTTTAGGGATTGCACATTTCCTGCACAAGTTAGGTAGTCAGCATACAGATTTTGAGGACCTAGAATGTACCAAGCCTATTCTAATGCTGGGGATCCAGTGGTAAGTACCAGTAGTACTGAAGGGAAATAAGGATTTGTAAGCTAGTAACCAATATTTGAGGTCTTCTCTGTGCTGGTGCTCTAGTTACTGGGCACTTAGAGTTGGACTGACCTTCATGGACATGCCCATCTGCTGTTCAGAAACCAAGGAGAAGGAATGCTTTGAGATTTCACTAAAACATAGTTCAGGATTTGGGTTGAGGAAAGAATTGTGCTTTTGTCTTTCCAAAGCACTTAGCTAAGTTTCTCTTAGTAGTTTGGGAAGAGACTCAGTGGTCCAACAGGGTGAGTCCAGGGCTAACCTGAGAGTCACTGAAGTGCCATAGCTTCCAAAATGGCCAATGGTAGCTCCAGATAAATCCATTCATGCAAAGAAGAGTGTCAGAGAAAAAAAAATCGGGTGGAAACTTGAAAGCAGCCCCTGGCATATTAGAAAAAATGACTACTGGTAAGTTCCTGAATAGACCCCAGTTTCTGAGCCCAGTGAGGAGATTCCCAAAGCTTCATGACTATCGGACTGAAAGGTGGGTCTTGGTGGGGATAAGTGATTGCAAATCCTCCCTAATGCATGCAGAACAGATGTCAAGAGGAGGTCTGGCTGAGGACAGAGAAGTGCATCTTAGGTTGGCTGGCTCATTCCTTCCTTAAGGGTCCTTAGTGGGTGGCAATAGGGAAAGGCAGTAAGAGCAACCATCTGGGTAGGTTTTGACTTCCAGCAGGCTTTTTATTATAAATGTTATTTTTGGAAGAGGCTTCCTGGAGGCATGTCGTCAGCCTCTCTTCTATTGGTGATCTGGTATTCTCTGGAATCCAGAAACCTAAACTAATTCAGGAAGCAGAGAGTCCTACCTTGGAACGCTCTATTTCCTTGTCTTCTGGGTGTCAAAGAAATATATACATATATATTTTTGGTCTGGCATTGCCTACTTGGGTGGGGACAATTGGAAACTCTGCTGGCTAGACAGTAGCTCCTTCCATTTTCCCCAAATCTCATATGACTCCTTTCGGGAAAATAGAAATAATTCCTATTTCTATCTTGCTCTTGTATGTTTACTTCCTGTTGGTCTCTTCTTGGTCTTCTGTAGGGTGAAGGTGGCAGGAGCTCTGTGTCTTTAATAAAGTTTCTGAGGGCAGAATGGGGTGCCTGAGAATTTTTCGGGGGGATGCTTGGGTTTATCTGGGGGCATCATTGGTGAAATTGGCTCCTATGTCTCTATTTTCTATTCTTTGCCAATGTGTCCTTTGTAACACGGAGCATAGTGCACAGGTTGTTGACATTTGGTGTATCTAGAGTCAAAGTTTTTAACCTGGTGTTCATGGACCTCCAATAGGTTCAATGATGTGCCATAAGGCATTCAAGAGCCTGAAATAATATACAAAATTTTGAGAATGTGTATGCGTCAGATCACTTTTTTGAGGACAGAAGTCATAACTTCTATCAGATTTTCAAAGGGGCCTACAACTCAAAATGGCTTTTAAAAATCTCAACGGGGGCGCCTGGGTGGCTCAGTTGGTTAAGCGACTGCCTTCGGCTCAGGTCATGATCCTGGAGTCCCGGGATCGAGTCCCGCATCGGGCTCCCTGCTCAGCGGGGAGTCTGCTTCTCCCTCTGACCCTCTTCCCTCTCGTGCTCTCTGTCTCTCATTCTCTCTCTCTCAAATAAATAAATAAAATCTTAAAAAAATAAAAAAAATAAAAAAAAATAAAAAAAAATAAAAATCTCAACGGGGCGCCTGGGTGGCTCAGATGGTTAAGCGTCTGCCTTCGGCTCAGGTCATGATCCCAGGGTCCTGGGATCGAGTCCCGCATTGGGCTCCCTGCTCCTTGGGAGCCTGCTTCTCCCTCTGCTTCTTTCTTTCTCTCTCTCTCTCCCTCTCTCTCTCTCCCTCTGTCTCTCATGAATAAATAAATAAAATCTTTAAAAAAAATAAAAGTAAAAATCTCAACTGGTATAGATGTTTATCCTGACGATTTTGCTATTCTTCTTCCACAGGGAAACATTCTGGCCTCAAGTCCTACTTGAGAGTCAAATGGGAGATTTCAAATCGCAAATTATCCCTGATTATCCTTTCTCTAATTTGAATAGCATCCAGAATTTCTCTAACTTGGGCAGTTTTGTTTCTTTTCTGAAAACACATTCTGAATTAGAATTACAAGTGACAGACGGTGATAGATGGAGACTTGACAAAGCTTTATCTGATTTCAACATTTTGAACACACACCCTTTGCAAGGTTCCTGCTCAAGCATAAAGCTTGACTTGAAGTTCGTGAGTGTGGGTGGAGCTTTGAAATGCCAGTTGTCATCATAAGCTACCGGCATGAAGTGATAGGCCCAAAAGATACGAGTAAGAACCTCTAAAGACACTCCAAAAACAAAAGAATAAAAGCAACTTTATGAAACGTTGCATCAAAGACCTTCAGTCCATGGCTGGGTCACCTCATCAAGTGAACACAAAATCTCTTTTCCTTTACAGGTTGTTAAGTAGCTACTTGATTTTGCTCTGAGCCTGTGTCCAGAGGGTTCTGTTTGAAGAATGAGTAGCTCTGAATTGATACCCATACAGAATTTGCATTTCTCATGTGAGACTTTAAGAGACTGGAAAGATAAAACCAGGCCTCAATCTTTCTTTTCTAATCTTTGCTCTATTAATAGAGACAGACATTATATATACATAGAGCTGAGAGTAAGGGTTTTGTAGAAAGATCTCACTGAATGGTATTTTCGTAATTGATCCAGTTACTTCAACTGTGCACTCAAACAGCCACGCAGCAGTTCAGGAGCAAAATCATTGGATGTGGTCCTGGTTTGGTAACTCACAGCCTAAGACTCAGGATCACACAGCAACAGCAACAACAGGTAAACTGCTATGTCTTCTGCTTATCCATTGTCCTGAATGCCAAGTTTTTCAGTGTAAGGAGAAGAGCATCCATGATCTTGTCGAAGTTTCACACTGATGTCCTGTTCATCCTTAGGGAATTGGGATCTGGTACCATTTTGTTTATCAGAGAAGCCTATGGATTTGGGGATACAACTGGATACTCCTCTGTGTTCTACTTGTTTTCCTTTTGGCAGCAGGCACATAGAATCAGAATTAGTTTTCCTTCAGGAGCTTTAATTAGGAGATTCCTTTAGAACAAATCCTCTTGAAAGAAGCCTATTAGAAAATGGATACTCCTACTTTCTGCTGATCTAATTATCACAGTCAATAATAATAGAGGGAAATACTGACTTATGAATGGAAAGTGTAGGCCTTGTGTACTTGTTTGGACTTCTCAATCCTCAGCTGTTAAGTGGAGGAGTAACCTGTTGTTTTCCATCAGAATCTAGGATGCCTGGATGTTTGACGATTAACTCTAAATCCCTGCAAAGTATTCTGGACTGCGAGCTTATGTGGGAAGAGTTTCCAGGCCTATAACAATGGGAGATTACAGGCATATCTTCATTTATTAACTTTTGTTGATGGAGGATATGGCCATATTTCAAAATAATTGGCCATTCTTTCTGCAGAAGGAGAGTAATAAAAATGGTCCTTAACACTTGCTTAGTCAAATAAAGTATATTTTATTTTAACAAATATTTGTGTAAGGAAAATAGTGCTGATGTTATGTTGTGATTTCATATCATGGTGCTAAAGGTCATGCTGGAGGGGGGACGCAGAATAAAGAATATGCTATTTTTAAATGTTAAATTACAATGCTTATCTTCATAGAACAAATATTGTGAAGGAAAAAGTTTTCTTGTCAGTGCTTCATCCTGGGCCATTTCTGGGCTTTCTTGATAGCTGAAAAAAAAGAAATCTAATCACAAATACTTTTGTATTTGGGGATTTAATGATGGCTTCAGCCTCTCTGCTTCAACTTTTTTTTTCAGTTTCTTTAATCCACTATTTAATATTCTTCTGGTGCACATCATGGTGGCAGAAATGGCGGTCTTGGGACGTTTTCAAACCAGGGCTCTTATTTTCTGATCTTATTTGTGAGATCCTTGGGTCACTTCATTTCTGTCCATCTTTCCTGATTGATTACCACCTTTTCAAAATGGACTCAAAATGTCCTGTTCTGCTTTGCAAAATATAGTTTTGGTATAAAAAAGTGACCATGGGCAAAATTGCTGGGGGACCTGGACACTAAATGGAAAAAGGTGAAAAGGCATCTTTTTCTGTCTTCCCCTTCATGTGGCATTCCTCTGTGTGTTGGGGACTGCCGGGATTATGTGTTTGGGATTGCTGGCAGAAATATCATACCCTAAATTCCTGGAGAATGATATTGGTTGGCCAAGATAGAGTGTGTAAAACACGAAGGGCTAGGACTCTGGAGAGCTTGGTTTCAGAATCATAGACTCTCAGATTTGGAGAGGATCTTCAATAGCCTAGCTCAGTCAACATTTCTAGTCATTTGACCTACACAATTTTCCTGCTAAGTGATCTTTCTGATGGTGGGGAACACAATACTTTATGAAGAAGTTCATCGTTGGATAGTCCAGATTATAACCTTTTAAATCCAACATTTGGGAGAATATTTGTTCCCCTTACAATGATCACCACAGGTCCTTGGTTTGGCCTTTTGGGAGCACAGACAAAAATTTAATCCCTCTTCTACGTTATAGTTTTTCAAAATTCAAAGACTGCTGTCATGCTCTCTGTCATTCAGCCTTTCTGACTGCAGACAAGGCAAGTTCCATCTAGCACAGTTTTTTCCTCTTTAGGATAAGAATCATGAACCAGATGATATTTAAGAACTTTCCATTTCTGACATTCTATGACCTGCAGTATGGGCCTCAAAAATAAAGTGGAACTTCTGCACTTTTTCTGTTTCTTCCCACCATCTATATGAAGTATAGATGACTCTCTTGAGTGGCAAAAGAGTAGAAGTATATACAGTGCTGTTTCTTAGGGACTGATAATTAACCTTCCAACCATCGATTCAATTATGGTTACAACAGCTTTGATGAGCTCTAGTGGTACAACTCCCAAAACAGCAACCAAGAGGAGAGAAGCCCAGGATTGGATTTCATGGTGGTTTCAACCATCAGAGTCCAAGAATCATCTTCACACAACAACGATAATGGCTGGTAATGAGTTATTATTATCTTATTTCATAAGATCTCTTGACAGTTTTCAATAGTTCATTGACCTCAAGGATACTAAGCCTGAAGTCCATTCTAGTTTCACAAATATTTTTGATGATTTTCGAAGGATCATGAGCTCGGAGACCCATGTGTTTGATTTGATAGCATTAATAAGCAGATTTCTTCTTTCTATTCTATAGAATTGATACAGGCCTGGAGGAGGCTATTAAAAGAGCACTGTGAAAGGAAACCAATCTTTCTTGATGGCAGAACAAAATTTTAGCTCTGAAAGATATTCCAAAGTGACAAAAGTCATTAAAGATTCTTGACTTTCCAAGAGAAAATAAAATAGCATAACTAGAGATAGAAAAATATAGAAACTTTCCATCAGTGGAACTATTCTTGGGGCAGCCACTGATAGTAAGAAAAGACCAATGGTCACTCCAAAAGATAGCATGACTCGCATTCAAAGTATAGGAAACCCCTTTTCAGGAAAGAGACTCCTTCTACAGCAACCACTGAGAAGAGGCAGAGGGTCTCCGTCTTCTTTTTTCTGATGTGTCCAGAAGGGAAAATGTGAGAATTTCTCAGAATCTTGGCTCCAGTCCACTTTAGTTGACACTTTTGGTTGACTAAGAAATGCCAGGCATGATTTCTCTGTGAACTGACTAATGTCATTATGGCTGGGTGCTGCACTGTTGTTGGGATGGTAGCTCAGCTTGTGCTCAGAGCTCCTGTGATGTGATGCTGGAGAAGGTCAGCAAATGAATTAACAAATCATGAATACACCCATGGGATTTTAAAAATGACAGACATGTGTTTAGATTGTGAAGGTTTTCTGCAGGTGGCTGACAAAACAAATAGGCACGTGTGAAAGCTTTCCATTCTATTCTTGACACCCTCGCCTTAAGGGCACATGCTTAATAAATTAATAATACGAAAGCATGGGGGGGAGTGTTTATTGGCCTGTTTTTCTTTTGTTTCTCTGGTTGGGTTTTGTCCACATTTGCTCTTTTTACTTCTTAAAGAGATTGTTCAGTTGTGAAGGTCACAGCCAAGTGTCTTTAGATCTATGCATTAGCTTTCAGAGACCAGGATCTAAGAATCTGGGGGTACACAAGTCAGATGTCTCATTCTCTTCTTGAAATATTGGGAATTCCATTATACATTCTGTGCCTGATTTTCTTCCTTTGTCAAATGGGTTGCTTGGCATCCAGTTCAGCCACTAACATAAGTCACCACAACAGGTACGGATTCAAATATCATCTCAGCAGGCTGGGAACCAACTGAAGAAAATGAAGATGAAAGAGACAAACACCCCAGTTATTCTGGATCAGGCATTGATGATGATGAAGATTTTATCTCCAGCACCAGTAAGAATAATCAATTACAGTAGAACCATTTATGCAAGGCTTACTGATTAATCTGAGTGATGCCCAATAGTGTCTACCTTGGGAAATAGTTAATGTGGAAAATGAGCATATACCTATGACTGATCACACTTTAGTTATATCTTGGTAAGATAATGAAGGAAGAAAAATGACTTTAAAAAAAAATGGAAGCCAAAATGTTTTTGGAGGAGAAATGGGGAAAATATTTATAAAACTCCTAATGCCTTAGGTTCTTTCTCTTTCGTTTACCTATGTGGTCTGCTGCTGCAGATTCTCCTTGAATTATTGAGCTTTGTCAGACAATAGCATAGTAAAACATTACAACAAGTATTTATTGTGTACCTACTGTGCTTGGTGCTGGGAACACAAAGATGAAAAAAGCCAGAGGTCTTGCCTTCAAACTCTGGTTTATTGAAGCAATAAAATGTGAGCGGGAGGATATTAATTAAAAGTTGTGGATGATTCTACACTGAAGACTTAGATGGCCCTAGAACAGATTAAAGTTGGGAACCAGAATTCAAGAATCATCGTCACCAAAACTTGGTTGAAATCAAGGAAACAAATCTAGTTTTAAAAAATGAGTAGGGCACCAATATAACAGAAAGACATTGAAGGGAAGGACAGACGTCAGCTGAGCCTTAATTAAAACAGTGCCAATTATTAAAAACAAATAGCGAAAATACTGCATAATAGTATACAAATTTGTGACAGTTATAAAACTTTGAGAACAGAGATGGCAGTCGCTGAAAAACATCCCTTAAAAAACCTGCAAAGGTCAGTCTAATATTTAGCCAGATGACTGGGATTCCTAGACCTATCTGTAATGATCTGAGATGTTGCTGAACAGAGATGAGAATTCCGAACTGACTCCACCATATCACTCCGTCACTCCTGTCCTTAGAGAAGGTGGACCTTTGCAGTGTGACTGTACTCTCTCAGGTCACTGAAGTTCTGACTGTCCTCCTGAAACCTGAGAGGACTGTCCCCAAATGGACAGCACCCAGGAAGGGAGGAGTCCAAAAATACAGCTTGGGCTTTGAGGCATCTGAGTATATGGCATCCATAGCACAATACTCAAGATGAACTAGATGCTTTATATCTAAGCTTTTAAATGGCGTATTTTTTAGCCCAGACACCACTGCAGAGCTTAGTCTATAAAACAAGGAAACTCTTTTTAATAACTTCAGAAGGAAAACCAAATAACCAAGAACACTGGAGCTTTACTGTCACACTGTCTTCTGGGTTCGGGATGTGGTCCCATCTTCCAGGTGGGGCCATGAGTAAAGATGTGGTCTTGATACTTGAGAAACTCAGTTTTCTTGGGCGGCAACCCCAACAGATCAACCTGAAAATAAATTGTGTGATCAAGTTCCCTGGGGGAAAACGTCCCTTGGTGTTTTTCATCTCTGTGGCATACTTTCCAATTTCAGTTCACTTTTCTGCTTGGCACCTGTGCACATAATTCAGCAGAGTACCTTCTCTCTTCTGTAGGGGTAAAGACAACTGCCGCTTTTTCATGCTTTTTAAGAATGTGGATGATGATTCTAAACCCGACGTGCTTCATTTGTGAAGTCGAGCTGATAGTATTACAGTTCCGAAAAGAATTTTGTGTTAGTTGGGTATCAAAATTAAGTTTGAGAGAATTAGGATGGGTTTGCACGTAATATTTTCACAAGAGCAACCTATCCCAATTTTGTCATGATCCTTCTGTCAGGTGTGTCTCCTACTCCAGCTCTATCATTTTGGGTGACAGCGTCAGGCCTCTGGTGGATGTATGCCTCTCTTATTTTTTTTCCAGGGAGCTGCCGTATTGGTGGTTGGTGACCTATGGTGCTTTTCTACTGAATGTATGAATCTTGTTTTTCTCTCATTGGCTGTGAATGGCTTGCTCATAAAATGCTTTGTATTTGATGAGAATACCATAGGTGTTTGCTAAATATTCAGAAATGTACAGCTAAATCATATGGCTGTTACAGGTAGATGTTCTTTCCTACAATCATCTATAGGAAATCCATGGTTGCTCAGGGTATGCCTTTCCCCACCAAAACTACTAATGAAATAAAGTGATCATATCATCATGGTATAATGTTCAGGTATCTACCTCTTTAGCCTAAGGATCTTGCTCTAACACACTTGCCAGTGATACCAATTCCTTGGGCTTTCAAGCACACAGAGCCATTACAGACTGCATGGATGGGCAAAAACTCTGATGTTCTTCGTTCTCCTCGGTGGAGGGCTGGTGTTTGCAAAGCTGTTCTTCCTTCTGCTGCAGCTCCTTTGGCTGCTTTCTCTGGAAAATCTCATGTTCTGACCCCAGTGTATTCTGTGACAGAATGCAGAGGACACTGAGGTGCTTAACAATATGGCTGAATCAAGCTGAAATCCTCTCTGCTTTCCCTCCATTTCCACTCAACCATCTATACGAGCTGGTATAGATGATTCACTGTGTAGACCAAAAAAGGGAGAGATGTGCAAAACAAGTGGTGAAGGCTCAAGAGCTAACATTTTCCTAATTGCTTCAATCATCATTATCACAGTTCCAACCACACCACGGCTTTTTAACCACCCAAAACAGAACCAGGATTGGACCTCGCGGAGCCCCGGTGAATCGAATCCAGGAATATTACTTCAGACTACTACAAGGATGACTGGTAATGGGTTATGCATACTTCATTAAAAAAAATTTTTTCCCCCTCAAAGTCTATGATGCTGCAAAGGTCAGTCATCAGGACATGCTGAGAAATGTAGTTCATGTCTCATCACAAATTCTTAACTTTCATGAGGATACTCAGTTCGACCTAGGAGTCATTTATCAATCATACCATCTGGGCACAAGATACTTTATGTTGCTTCATTATAAAAATGAACACATTAGCATGGTTTATGGTGCTGCCCTTGACAAAGTGATTATAGTAGAACAACAGGTGATCATTAAGAAATTTCCTGCCCATTGATTTTTCTCTTGGGAGAGATGAGTGGAGTCACTCAAAAGTATTGAGCGTAGATGCTCGGAGGTCCTATTTAGGCATGGCACTGTTAAATAGCATGCATTTTAATGGAAGAACACAACACCAAAGGTTGGTTGATAAAAAAGTCACACTGTATATAACCATCATCACGGCAGATGTGGACCAAAGTGGCACCAGTACTAAGGGAGAGGCCTGGCCCCGCGAACCACACTCTCCTCTCATTCACCATGAGCATCATGACGAAGAGGAGGCTCAGCATCCTGCAAGCACAAGTAAGGAGGCTGATGGTCAGCAGTGCTGGTGTCCATGACTTAGTGAAATCCTTCTGAAGAATAGGGAAGACTTTGTTTAAGACATTAGCCACATCTTCTATTTCTATACAGTCATCTTTTTTATCCACAGAGCACGCAGAGCTGCCAAATCTACACACCAGTTTTAGAAATTGGGAGAAAAATGCTAACTGGTCAGAATGCCCAAAAGGTCAAAATGGTGGAAAGGTTAAAATGTTTTTAAAAGATCTGAGATATGTTTGTTTTTTGTGTTAGAGATTCCTCGAGGTTCCATTTGGGTGATTTGTGTGTGTTTATGGAAATGTGTGAGGAAGCTGTATCTTTTGGTGCTGAGCAGTGGGTCCTGGAAAGAGAGCTTGACAAGTGTGATCTTTGGAATCCTTCTCTTCTGTGAAGATCTCTGATGAATCAGTTTCTTTTTTTACATTCTGTACCTCACTGCATTGTAGAAAGGCATCCCTTGTATTCTTTGGAGGAAGGTCAGTAGCTCATAGAGACTATATCTGAATTTCTGTGACTGTTCTTTTTCTGCTTTTAAGCCCAGAGTAACTTGGGGAAGGCTTTGATGCTGTTATTTCTACTTATGTGCCAACGTCTCAGGTTTTCCAAAACAATTTCAAGTCTCACTACTGGTCTGTGAGGCTAGGACAAAAAAAAAAGTAAGAAGTATATACTCTTCTTCTTTCATCTCTCTCTTGGCGATATGCCTGTCATGTTTGGAATAAAAGAAGCTTTAATTTAGGGTAACACCTTGTAGCATCTTTAAAACTATGGTTCAACTATCATTCTGTTAGCCTTGGATACTCCTAAAGCAAGAATGTAAGAAGCAGCCACTTAGAAACCAAAGGGAGACGTGAGAGTTTGAGGGATGCCTTCAGACAACAAAAGAACATTTCAGACATCAACTAGGACATAGGTTTTAAGTCCTGGGCATTGTACCGAATACGCCCAACAGGCCTGCATCTCATTACTTCTCCCAGTAGATTTTATTTTTGTGTGAGGACTCTGGGCATAGTTAACAGGAGTCTTCTGATAGAAGAAGGCCATGAGAAGCAGAAGTCTCTTCAGAATGGGATTCCGTACCAATCCCCTTTGGAACCTAAAAGTGTATCTTAGAATTTAAGGCCGTTTGTACTTAAAAAGGAGCCAGCTACATGAGAGGCTTGGAATTAATGAGCCCATTGTCAGAAGGTGGTGTGTGGGTGGGGGGGCATCATTCCTGGAGGGTAGTTGAAAAGCCAGATGTGACAGAACCTCACGGAGGAAAAGGGAAAGCAGTAACCGCTACAACAATTCTCTTATCAGTACTTGCAAACATAAAGAGATTCTGGTTGGTGACCTCTGGGCTTTATCAAAGAACATTACAACTCCTAGAAGAGAGTCAACTTTCTTATTTTACAACGGAAATCCTATACTCTGCTAATCCATATGTTGAAAACATCAAAGGTTACTGGGTATTTAAAGGATCGTTACGTTTATAAAAACAGTGTTGTGTATGCCCATGCGTGCATTTCTGTCTCTTTTTTTTTTCTTTCTTTTCTAAAAAATTTTGAAGAAGCAGTTTATGTTTGGGTTCATTTCCCCTTTTTTGTAATTAGGCTTATAGTTTTTCTAACTTCATTATTTGTCAGGAAGTAGTGATTTAGTCAGTGGGAGGTAAAACTGAAGATTTGGGACTTTTTCCTCCCTCTGGATAACCACTTAACCCCAGGAATGTTTTGGCCAGTGCAAGGGTAAAATGAGGACACAAGTTTTATTTTTTAAAGATTTTTCTTATTATCAAATCACACATATCTTCTTCTAAAATTATGAAATACAACCCAGTTTTACCAGTTGCAAAATATACTTTGGCTTGGCAAGTTTATAGGCTCTCATTGAACTAAAAATTTGCTATTAGTTGCTATAAGTGAAAATGACACTGACTTTCTGATTTTCCCAAAGGTACCCTGATACAGTTTTATTCCATTCATCTTATTCTTTTTGAAACTGGACAATTACAACACCGAGGGGTTGACATTTTTAGCTCATCACACGTTCCTATTGTTTATATAATGCCAAACACTGGCTAGAATAGTTTTCTTCCATTGACTTAATTTTGTTAAAAAGTAATTTTGGCAATTTTGGATGCCACGTAGACATAACCTCGTAACGTGCCAGTCATTGTCAACATCTTTCATGCTGGGCAAATCCACTGCTGGTGCCTTTCCAGTGCATGCGATCGTGGATTATGTGACCACCATTTGAGAAGGCCTCCCACCATGCTGGTTTTGTCATCAATTGGTATATATAATACAGTCCTCCCCCCAAATCACAGCAGCAAAGAGGTTAATTCTTTGAACACACAATTCTTTCAGACAAGGATATATGAGGCCAGAGAGTATGGTAAACTAAGAATCTAAGAATCAGACTGGGAATGCATAGACTGTGGTCCAGTCCTAACTTTGTGCCAATCTGAGCAAAACTACTTTAGGTCCCAGTTTTCCTATCCGAAAGATTGAAGAATTGGGCCACTGATTTCTAATATCTCTTTCAGAATATCAATAATCTCTCTCCTTGCTGCTTTCCTTTTCTACCTTTTCTCCCATGTGTATATGGCCTTAAAGTATTAAGATATGTGTTGGTAAGGAAGTTGGACAATCATGGTTCACAATTGACATTCTTCTCACAGCTCAGGCAATCCTTAGTAGTACAATGGAAGAAACAGCTACTGAGAAAGAGCAGTGGGTTGAGAATGGATGGCCTGGGGAATATCCCCAAACACCAAAAGAAGACTCTCATTCAACAGCAGGGACAGCTGGTAATGGATTGTTTAACAAGCAAACTTGGGTGGAAGCTTCCTCTTGGGTTAAATGCTGAGCATCGAGGACACGGAACAGAAAGACATTGAAGGAATTGTCACAAGATATTAAGTTTCCTTAATAAATTATGATGTGGCCAACACAGAGCCAACCCTTAGATGCTCATAACAAATCACGAAAACAGGAATGATATAGCATACAAAGGAGACACAGAGAATGTGTCTCTTGCCTGTCTCACTTTCAGATCTAGTTTTGGGCATCCCCCAGTGAGATTGTAGCAGAGACTCTGATCTGACCAAATACTCCCTCTTGTTTTATAAAGGAATCTACAGCATGGCTTTATGAAATACTGGGCACATTAGAAAGCATTTGGTCAGAATCCTGATGTTGGAAGAAATGGAGCCAGATAGTTAAAAAATACCTGTGTGATGTCATTTAGCCCTTTGGTCATGTCTATTTGGAGATTTCTCTTTGAATGATTGGTGCTTTTTTTCCTTACATTTACAAAAACACACTTTCTCTATTCTTGAGTTGTGGGATTGTGGAACTTGGACTCGAGTTCTGTCATCTCTAAGTGATGCCAGATAACTTCAGCTCTGCAAACTGCTGTGCATGATTCTTTTGTCTGTGTGGCAGAAACACGGAAATGCATCCTGTCTTGTAAAAGAATGTGAATTCCGTATTCTCACTTGGTATCAGAATAGTCCCCTGTTTCCATTTGCAACATAGAAGACAATGCAGAATGTCCTTTGGGTGTGTGGCAGCTTCTGAATGCCTACCTGCCAGAGCAGTGGATTCAGTGACTGGCTGCGTGGTGTGATTAGTGCTAAGGGGCTACTACTGGAATCTTCTCTACCTATATATCTCCACTGGCTCAGAATGATGCAAAAGCAAAAGTGTTGAATTCTTATATGTCCCTTGAGCTGTGAATCCCATTGTTAGAAGGTAATGCTTCTAATGGATTCCATTCATGCTTTTGAGATGAATGGCATTTATTTCAGGTTTATCTTGTGGGAAGCCTGATTCCTTCTCTAAATCACTGCCAGCCCAATGTGCATTTCACTGGGATGTGGTTGTCTCGGAATGACATCATGTGCTTAGATACTTCCTCCTTTAGGGGATGGTGGCCACATGGTGTGTAGTTCAAGAACCACTTCTTTATGTTCACATGATGACTATAACTCATCCTTTATTCATGCAGGGGTCATTAATGCTTTTGTGGCCTCTACTTCCCATGCTGATTGCTAAGTAAATGAGCATGAACAAACCCATACCTGCTAAAACATTCTGTGTTTACACATCTTCTTGGCCCTCTATACCAGGAAGATGCTTTCATTGTCTTGTCTAGAGAATAAAGTCTTTTTAAAAGTATCAGTGTATGTATCCCTGGCCAGATGTCAACTAACACTTTGACATTTGCTTGAACTACATGGTCACACCAGCCCCAGCCCAAGAAGGCCATCCAGACCAAAGAATGACAACGCAGAGCCAAGAGGACAGCTCCTGGACTTATTTCTTTGACCCAATCTCACATCCAATGGGACGAGATCATCAAACAGAAAGATGGATGGGTAATAGCCTCTGAGCTTTTTTTATATATTCTGTTTTTGACAGCCACCCAATGGCTATTTACTTAGAAATGTGCCCTTGATTTTAGACTGCTTCTTAAGGCACCTGAAGTTTCTTTAGAAATTAGTTTTCTAAGTAGGGGTGATATGGACATTCATCTGAATACGAAATCCTGGGCTGAGACTGAAGAATTCAGCCAAAGGGGTAAAGAAGAATTAGTCCTAAGATGGTGGGAGTGGAAGTTATTTTCTCTGAAGAAGGAGCAATCTCAAGGTTTCTTTTCCACCTACTTTTAAGTACAGGGTTTTAAAAAGAGTAAAGTGACTGAATTCAGTTACTATTGTCACTGTAGGCCCAAAGATGTAACTTGTCTTTGGGAGAGAAACCTTAGAGGTAAAAAATTGGTGAGCACTCATTTTAAACAAGTAACTAAAAAGCTCAGAGAACGTTATTCACTCTTGCCACATTGAGACAGAAATACAGTACCCAGTGACAGGATTTAGACCACTCTTTGCCCTCAATAAATGTTTGCAAATTTAATGAATGGACAACTTTTATACAGGATGGAATCCTTGTTTTCTTAAATACCCATTCTTACTTACCTATTAGCAATTAAAAACAGAAATGAAAGAGTAAAAGAGATACTAGCTGTAGTTCTGCAAGAATGGAAGATTGTGATTCTCTCTGACCAATTTTTATATTCAAAAGGAATTCTTTATCAGAGAGAATCTGTAGGAGTTGGCAGCAGGTGGTGTCATCCCTTTTCTCAGTCTTTACTAAGGTGAAGAATCCATGCTCCTTACTATAGCCATGAATTGAGTTACTCAAGTTGTTTTTTTTTTTAATTATTCAACAAGGTGTCTTGATGGCACAAATGTCACATTCCAAAAAGGGAGATAAACCAAAAGAGTCAATAGAAGGATGTGAATTTTCAGTCATAACATTGAATATATTATCTGGATCCAAACTGCCAAGGGTATGCATAACATAAACTGTATTGAAATGGGTTCTAAGAGCACAATGATGATGTCTCTCGATATTGAATTGAACAAAATTATCTTCAAAAGGAATCCCACAGTTTCTATGGCTTCATTTCTTTAAAACATCCTATGCTGTACCCCAATGTTAATGATTAGATATCCCTTAAGCTACAATTGTATTAAATGTCTTCTAATGTGCAATGCATTATGGCTACACAATGTTCCATGACCTTAGCTGATTTAAAATTTAGCTAGGAAAAGAAAACATTTATCATCAATGATAAATCAAAATGTATCTAACAATACTAGACAATAGGTAATAGATGTCAAATGAATGTTGCCAACAATAAACACAAAAATACAGAGGACCCTCCAGAGAGTGTCAGAGAAAGAGGCATCTGATTCTGGTTTTTTTCAAAAATGGAAGAGAAACATGGATAGTCAGAGCAAGGAAGTCAGGGAAAGTTTTTCTAGGAAGGTGACTCATGTAAGGAGAGGCATAAAGGAAGGGAAACCAAGGAATCAATTTTTCAGAGCAACTGGGTCCATGTGTCATAAAGGAAGATGAGTTTGAATGGCTAGGTTGTGGCCATTAGGTTGTGGGTTTGAAGTGCCACATGCAAACCCAACACACATGTTCATGTACATGACTGCTGGAGGCTCTGGTATATCCATGGTGGAAAACCAAGCCAGTAAAAAACCTTCTGGATCAATATTAAGTTTCCATACTGATGAACAGAAAGAGAGCCCATTACATTGAACATGTCAAGGGCAACACAAATGGCTTCAACCATAGAATGGTGCAAAATGTCTTGAAGGAGTCTACTTATAAAAGGGAAGATGAGCAAGAGTATCTAGACACTTTCAACAGACAGGACGTTTCTGGGAGAATACCCATTTGGGGTTTTGATTTGGGTTGGCCTTTCCTCCTTTTTGAAACCTGGGATAATACAATCAGCCATGTTTTGTCCTACAGAGATCTTGATTCTCTTTTCTTGTATGTAAAGGCTTCAGTGTAGATGCAAGTGCCCAATATTCCAGTGTTTCCTTCTGGAGTCATCTGGACCTGATTAAATCTGTCTGGATGCAGCAGTGTGGGTGAACTTTGAGCTAGAGAGCCAGCAACAGCAATGGGGCTCTTGGATTTTTGGTCACTCTTTCCCTCAGGACTTGTTATTCCAGCAGCATGGATTTGTGGTATTTACTAGAAACAGCACATTTAAATGTTTCAGTGACACTTCTGTATCACTCGGCATTGGACATGGTAATTCCAGAGACACCTCATACTTATGTTTATGGGGAGAATGATTCACTGACCTCTACTGCTTATTTCTTGCCCCCGAATACTTTCCGTGACTTCCATGTAGGTAATACTGGATGATAATTTTATGTGTTATATGCACGTTCACTTTGGGAAGCAGAAAGGACCAAAAGAGAGAAGAGGGTTGTAAAAAAAAAAAAAAAAAAAAAATCTTTTGCCAAGTGAGGGAGATGAGAACAAATGGTGTCCGAACCAGTACATTTTATCTTTTCTCCATGATCCAGAACACATGTGTCTATAAGGGAAGCAAGCTGTATGGCATGGGACAAGTCACACGCGGGCTGTGTTTCTGTCTTTTTGCAAGGCTTGAGAGGCATGTCATGTGCTCATTTAGTGTCCTTGGAGACTCAGCAAAAATAAACAAAAATTGCACCTTTCATACACTTAGCCTTTAAATGAAAGCCAGTTACTTCTTGTGATACTTTTTGAAGAAGTCATAATTTGTTCCAGTTCTGGAGACATAATCAGTATGTACTTTTTTTCCCTCTAGTCCAGGTTTGCATGTGAAAATAGTTTGTCTAGAGACCAGAAACCACCCTCAGGGAGTGGCTTAGTAAGTCAAGCATTAACACCAGTTTGATTCCTTCAGATATGGACTCCAGCCATAGTACAACACGTCAGCCTTCTGCAGATCCAAACACACATTTGGTGGAAGACCTGGACAAGACAGGACCTTTTTCAGTGACAACTCGTAAGGATAGAACAGCCCCTCGGCTGGCCTGTAGTCCCGCTTTAGCTCCCGCTCACCCTGGCCCGGATGCAGAGCTTGGTGGTAGAATGGTGCGGTTAGGGCTACGTGGCTCAGCTCAGCCCGGAGTATGAAAGCATCTTCATTGTCTATATTTTCTTGGTGGGTTCTTTAAATCTGATTTTGCCTTCATTCTTGGTGATTTCCAGATGCAAGGACTTTATGTTAAGGAAACTAAAAGGGTTGTGGGATTCTGCCCAACCTGATTTTCCTTCCCAAAATAGTTATGTGAGTGAAACCCAAGACCACGGCTAAGACAGTGTTTTCTCTCTGTTTTAACCATCTCCTTTTGGCTCCCATCTTTCCTCCACTCAAGGCAGGAGAGGAGTAGGGTTGCTTTCATGGTTGTGAAAAGACATTTTGGGTCCGGATAATCATAGAGAATGGGGAAATTACAGCAGCCCACAGAAGAGGGGCAAGACGTACTGTTGACCATTCACAAAGGTGCCGGGGCCTGGGAACAAAAGAGGAACATTTGCCAATATCTCTTCCGATTACTAAACATCTGAGAGAATCAATGCTAAATTGCCACTGTACGGACAGGGCTATCCCAGAGATCAGACTGCAGTCATCTGCAATTTCTTCACAGAATATGAAAGAAATCCAGAATGAAGAGGGCTTCATTTCACTGCTTGCTACATGTACTGGGCAGAGTCCTTCATGTGAACCCTTCTAGGCAGAGGAAAAATCAGCAAGCATGTATTGATCACCAAGAATGTATGTAGCACAGTGTTACGCATCAAAGGAGATGGAGGGAAGCCTAAGACGGTCCCCTCCAAGGGACGGTCTTGTGTTTCCACTTAATGTCCCTGCTGACTTTTATTCTGACACTGGGACTGGGATTTGGTGAATGTCTTTCTCCTGGTTGTCATGTTTACTTGGTGGTGGACAGGGCTTACTGATGTGCTTTATGGAATGCTTGCACCTGTAACTCAGAGGTCGGTACCTTTCTTAGAAGAACACAGAAGAAATCAAATCAAAACAGTCAAAGTGATTTCAGATACGGGCAGTGGTTCAACCTCAAATTGGTATATGTCAGTGAGGGCCTTGTGTTTGCCCAGGCAAGCGTTTCCTGACGTTTCGGTGCAGTGATGAGAATCCTCATTCACAGACAAGATCAAAAACCTAATAATAGAGTGAAATGGTAACTTTAATTTAATATTCTTTAGAAGGGACTTAAGATTTCTTTGTGCAAATTTGATCTGAGTTACTTGAGCAGGTTGTTCTAGATTCTAGGTCTTCTTCCTCTTTCGTCGTGAGAATTGTGCTACCTGCTACCCTGGTGTTCATTTCCCTACAGTCCCACTTCTCGACCCACAGCTGGGTGCTCTTGATCGTGTATAGGAGCACCAGAATTCAACCATTCCTTTTTCCCTGTCTCTGTGTTCCCCGGTTTTCCTAAGTGACAAGAAGCGGTGCTACAATTGGGCCAGGATGATCCAGGGTGGACAAAAGTTTTGGTTCAGGCTTCACCTTGGCACTTTACCTTTGTTGATTGTACTGAAAAAGAGGTTCTTAGGAGCCAATTAGGGACAAAACAGAATTCTGTTGTACCTTTCTATCAATCAGAGGAGAATGGTAGATCCAAACCTCGGTCTTCCTAGGCACCTACCTGTCTGACACTACCAGAGCTAGGTCCTTCCTGTCAGCAGATGACAGAGGATTTGTTTCATGGCTCCAAATTAACGCTGGATTCCTCCCTCATTGAAACAGAGCAGAGTCATACTCAGAGCTTCTCTACATCACATGGAGGCTTGGAAGAAGATAAACACCATCCAATGACTTCTACTCCAACATCTAGCAGTAAGGACTGTAAAGCCCAGCTGGCTTCAGCTCTTGATAAAGATCCATGAATCATGGATGTTTGTACCGTGTCTTTGGTGGAGGTACATCACTTGGCGGCTATTATGCTGTTATTTCTGATCAGAAGGTGCGGCTGGTGATGGTTCTTGGATTTTTCTGCTTTGTAGGCCTCTTAGAAGCTGTTGTACATTAAGTGCAAACTGTATTTCTTAATCTTAAAGGTCAGCTTTCTTAAACTCTAAAGTTAGTGGCATGGTTTTAAAATCGCTTACGTATGATTTATAATTGGTGTAAAGGTCTGAATTCTATCACTCTCTGTTTTCCTTTCATCAACATATTATTTTGCCATTCATCCTCTGGACATACATCCATAGTGCTGGTGACTAAGAAGCAGTGCCCCTATGGCAAAGGAAAAAGTAACGAAAGCCTCATGGCTTTGAAACCTGGCATTTACCGTTCCATTTGCAGGCAGCATAATTTTACTTTTCAGTTCAATGATGTGTTTTCTCCACTTCATCAAAGGCGGGTCCAATTGAGTAAGCGCTCAAGATTGTCTAGTACCTGAGTTGACTTCAAGGTCACAGTCATAGTGGCATAAACCTAACTTTAACAATCCAGGCAGATGTTGCGACAAATCCCTTTCTTGGGTATTGGGATCACCAGAATCTCTTCCACTGAATCATGTCCAGGTGGTGCCGATTGCAAAATATCACTTTGGTTCAGTAACAGTAGGAACGAACTGCACTGTCTTTTGCTCCATACTCATGAATAACAAGTGGAAAGCTTTTGCAGCACTGGCACGTTCCGAAGACAAGCATCCGATGGGTGGTGGCCTCACAACTGTGGGCTTACCACTGATCCCACCTCCACACAGATAGAACTGATGGCAGAGGTGGAAGAAGAGGTGTACATCTTCCTGAAGACTCAGCTACTTCAGTGGAAGGTTCTACTTCTCACTCACCAGCCACGGGGGAATACAGGACCCTCATCCCTGTCACCCCTGCTAACACGGGGTCCCCTGGAGTTACTGAAGTCAATATTGCTGGAGATTCCAACTCTAACGTTATTCATTTCTTTTCAGGTAACTTGGCCATTTGTTATCTGGTTGGATTTCTCTACAGAGAGAAACAACACCTAATTTCATACTATAGGGGGACATTTTCTGTGTGGGCTATGATTAGACCGATTTGTGATATGGGAATGGCCTTTATCCCAGGTCATCATTCTAGTGCGAATAAAGTTAGATTTATTTTAGATAAATAATGCTTTTATTTGCCAGTTTAGTCTCCGTTTATTTTTGTGCTTGTTAGGGTTGTTAGGGTTGTTAGGGTAGAATTTCTTTGTTCCTAATCTTGTGGTATATTAATTTGAGCCATATGAAATCAATGCTTTTGTAGGTCAAAGTAGTCAAATATTAGCAACTTCATTTGATTCAACTCAGATATGCTACCTGTTTCGTAAGGTTTTACCCAACATATGAATCATTTCCATGTGCTTACATCTTTGTTCTGAAATTATTTTCTTTACTGGTGGTGGATTGATTAATTTTACTTTCGGTGAAGGGCTCGTGGCTAAACCTACTTATGATTCACACCTCACACTTTATGATTTAATCTACTAATAATGAATAGGCATGACTTCTCCTGTTGCGATGGCAAAGAGATGACTAAAGATGACTTATTCAACTAAGTTGGACACGGACCTAAAAGGAGAGTGAGACTTCTTTTCTCAAATAAGCAGTCTCCCCTACTTCTCCCTTTCTTTGTTCTTTCATTTGCATTAAGAAACTTACATTGAAGAAAAAAGAACTGGAAATACCTACTCTGGATAAGAAATGAGAATTGGAATCTCTCCTCCCCGTGCCAGTGATTCAAGTGTTTCTTGCCACTCAACCATTGAATTATATTAAAGATTTGTGATTTTAAATATATATGGATTTGTAGCAAGGTCTGCCTCTCCTCCCCTGCAAAAAGAATAAGTCTTATGAGAACCCAGTATATAAAACAGATGACATCTGTGATGCTCTAATTGATATGAGGACAGAAGACTCAGAATGCCAAGTGCTTGGATTCTTTCCTCTGGGCTGCTCACCCAGAGCTTCCAGAAAAGCAGTTTTTAAAAATACTAACTTTGGTGATATTGGCAAGACAAAGCTCCTCACACCCTTTGATTCATTATTCATCATGGTTCTGCCCTCAGTTATTAAACATCCTGAGTAGCATTGTCCATTTTCTTCCAAAGAAATGAATCTTAGAGCACTGCCTCTTTTCTCTTGGCAGAATAAGGACTGTGGTGCAATCAAATGAATTTAAATTTTAAATGGCAATTTTAAAAGTAATAGTATTGTGGAAGGGTTACATAGCCCATTTGTTAGTAAATAAAATGCTTTCTACAAAATCGATACTCACAGATGCTGATTCCTTCTATTATTCCATGATCAAACAGATTTTCTGTGGTTCTTCATGGATTAAATGGTTAGTAAGTGATTCATCTGCCATCCTTGGTTTTCTTCCAAGCCACTCAGATAAAGCTTATTTCTTCCCATATGTTTTTCTCTGTCTTCATGCTTCATGTTAAGAACTAAAACATTCGCCATTGTGGTGGTGGTGACAATGGTGGTGGTGGTATTGGGGGTACCGGTGTTGGCATTTCAGCAAATGCTGTTTTCGAGTATTCTAACTAAGGAACCAAGCAATCTGTCTCCCCTGTACAATTACACAAGAGACGACAGGACGCCTACCTCCGCCTTCTCTAATCAAGGAAATGGTGATGATCAGATTACTATATTTTCCTTACAGGTCTTCATAATGGGTGACTGTAGCCATTTTATGAAACCATTATCCCTTTCTGTTGTTATTGTTGTTTGTCTTGTTGTTGTCTTGTTGTTTTGTTTTGTTTTTTTAAGATTCCAGCACATTGGAAAGTGTGTGGGGAAGAGGGAGAAGAGCAGGGGTTTCCACAGGCTGAATCTGAGATTTGACCTGTGGACCCAGATTTGAGCAGTTCATGAGCTTGTCTCAATCTAAAGCCCTTTGGTGATCGATATTTGGGAAGATGGGATTATTTTAACTCTTGGTGTTGAAAATACAGATTTGAATTTTGAAAAATGTTATTTTTTAAAATATATTCTAATAACCAGGTCCACATTTTTTACATGTTAACTCTCATCTTCTTATTCCTTTTTCACTTATCTTTAAGCTCTTTTTCTCTAAAGAAGCATTTGACCTTTCCTTTTGAATTTTTTACATAATTCAACACCAAGATCCTTTACTGCACACCAAAACCATTTTCTGTTTCCTGCCTCAGAGAAATCTCTTTAAGTGGCTCATGCTCTGAGTCAGAGAGTGCACACACTCCCAGCGATCCCATTTGTGTAATTCAAAACATAAAGTCTTTATTTCAAAGACGCAGTATCAAGTTCCAACCTCAGATCTGCGAAGATCATCATAATATTTTTGTGAGAGTGTTATGTTCTTAGATTCCTACCCAAACCACACTTCCTGTGGTCATCCTGGACGGTCTTTGCTGTCCCAGTTTCCTTTATTGTGACTAAAGCCCTAACCTACTCACCAGTGGATCCAGCAATGAACAGTAATTAGTACCATGGAGCCATTCAAGGTTCCTTGCCATTGATTTTTTGGTGACCTTTAACACATTAAACTTGGTGATAGGATGTCTGAAATTGCAAAAGTGAGGAAATGCAGATTGCAGTGGAACACCCAGTAATGAAGCTTTCTGATTACTCCTTACAGAAGACCAAGACTCATCAGTTCACCCCAGTGGAACGTCCCATACCACTCATGGATCAGAATCAGCTGGTGAGTTTGAGCTACTGTAGTCATTTACTGTTATCATCATTGAGCCTGCTGATGATTAATAAAGCATGAGTCAGTGTCTCAAGAAGAGTGGTTCTCAGACTTTCTTAGCGTGTGTCACAATCTTGGAGAGTGCTTATTAAATCACACTGGTGGGCCCCATTCTTAAGGTTTCTGATGCGGTAGGTCTGAGGTGAAGCTTGAGCATATTTATTTCTAGTAAGTTCCCTGGTGATGCTGATGCTGCAGGGACGGGGACCACACTTTGAGAACTACCGTGTTGGAGAGAGAAGTATTCCATGTGGAAGGATCAGGAAGAATTCAGGCAGGATCTCAAGTTAGCATTGTACTACACCAGCCTGATTAAGAACATGGGTCTTGGAGTAAGAATGGCCTGGGCTTGATCCCAGCTCCTCCATATACTAACTGAGGATGTTGCTTAAGGGATTTGAGACTCAGTTTCCTGATGATTAAAATTGGGATAATAATAATTGTTGCAGGGCATTGTTTTAAAGACTAAATGATGCAACAGGTGTAAAGGTGTAAAGCACATGGCACTGTAGCTAGCATTTACTGAGAATTCACTGTGTGCTTGTGGTGTTGTATTAAACACTTTCCATGTAGTAGGGTAGACCAGATGAAGCTGCTATTTTTGTAGGTCAACAGTCGAATATCCACAATTCCATATGGTTCATCTAATATTACTTTATGTAATCATCCTACAAACCCCGTGACCTATGAAAGTATGGTTAGCATCCCTGTATTCCAGACAAGGACACTAAGACTCTGAAAGGGCGAGTACCTTGGCTGGGTTGACATGACTGGTAAGTTGAGTGGTAGAGCCAGCCAGGTTTCAAGCCCCGAGGTCTCATATTGCCTCTATAAGTATGTTCTGAAGAAAACACTCCGTAATGACCATAATTACTGCCAGGCATGTATTATTAAATGGATACATGTTTGCTGGGACTCAGATCACACCCCTGGAAACATTACTGCAGGCACCAAAGTCTGACATGAGGCAGGTTTACTTGTGACCAGTAACGCTGGAACCACTGAAAGGTCCTGCCAATACCGGTGGCCCTGATATCCTCAGTCCAGGTGACCCCATGAAAACCAGGGAATCCATCTGGGGACCACGGTCTTCCCCCCCATGCCCAAGTCAGTGCTGCAGTTGCCTCCAGGCCTAAAGATTCACACACTTAAAGCAAATATGAAGACGGATATTTACATGGTGGCTCAGTAATAAGCTTTCATTGCAAGAGCACAGGATAGAGGGGTTCATTAGAAATGCTTCTAAAGTAAAGACAGAAGTCCCAAGCTCTTTAGATCCCTTGGATGGGACATTTAGCCTTTCCCAAACTCAGTTTCCTTTTTAGTAAAAAAAGGGGGTCAGGACACCTGCCTCTGTTACCTCCCAGAGTTTTGTGAAGAACGGGAGGGAGCTATCAGGAAAATGAAAAATTTGGGGAAATGATAGGGAGTTATTATTTCAACCATGTTCTCTAAAATTAAGAGACCCTAGCTACTCCAAGTGTGGTCCTTGGACCAGCCACTGGGACATCTCCTAGGAGCTGGCTGGAAATGCAGAATCCCCAGCCATCCCAGACCTACTGAATCAAGTTCTGCATTTTAACTAGACTTCCCCCCACACTGGGTGTTTTGTATGTGCACTGAAGTTTGAGAAACTCTGTCCTAGACTGTTTTTCTCACAGTCAAGGCCAGTTGAATTATCTCTGTGCACACGTCTCAGGTTGGATCTCATCTCCAAATTACAGTGTCAAGTGTCCGTCTTTGCAAAGCTTGCTTTCCCAACCAGCCCTACCCGGCTGGATTTGCAGACCTCTGGAGTGCAAGGTGAGGCCTGCTGTATCTCGTCCATCTTCTCTGGCTTTTGCTTGAAGTGAGAATCAGGTGGGCGGGAGCGGTCTCTTTTGTTTGACTCCTGTGCAGGTGTGTATTGTTCAAGTGGGAGGTTTCATCTTGTTGTACACACACCCAGATCTTTCCTTGCTGGGAGCGCTTTTTTTGAAAACCAAAATAAAGAGATTATGATCCATTAGTGGCCTCCTTTTCAAATATCAAAGGCTTCTATGAGTCAGAGAAAGACCAGGGAGAGTGCCTCTACTGCTTAGATGACTTTCAAGCCTGAAGATCTCCAGTGTAGATGGCCAGCATCCCATGACCCATGCAGGTGAAGGTGTGCCAATGACCAAGGACCCCGGGGGGCAGCTAGGAAAAGCACCTTGGACTCCCCAAGATTTACAAAGTACAAGGCCACTGTCAAAGTGGCATAAGATGTGTTGAATGGCCCGAGGTCTGGTAAGAATTTGTTTTGTTCCATTTCAAGTTTAACGAAAACATCAGATTGCATTAACAGGAGTCAGCCTATCCAAAACAACCATCATCATCAAAATTGCACCGTCCACTGTCTAAAGTTTGACTCTCCGCTGACATCTTCCTTTAATTCAACCCTGGCCATCTTCATCCATTGCTTAGCCAGACAGACTACCCTGATTTGCTTTTTCTTCCCTTGGTAGACTTCAGAATTTTGCAGTGGGTTCCCCACGGGTAGGAGGGAACAAGTTCATTTTTGTGGGATATTTTCAAATTTTGTTTTGAAACAGAGGAGGAAGCATAAAAAACACAAGCAAAAGATGAAGCTTTAACTTAGGTGAGTCTCTTCACGAGATGTCTTAGAAGTTTCTTTGAAAACACGATGCCCCCTTCATTTTGATGAGTCTCCCATGCGGAGTTATGGATTCTTTTTTATTTTATTATGTTCAGTTAGCCAACAGATAGTACATCATTAGTTTTTGACATAGTGTTCAAACGATCAGATTTGTGGATTCTTAGTCTTGTTACGTCTCCTTCCAGTTTGAGATGCTTTGCTTGTTTCCTTATTTTGTTTTGTAGTGGTAGAAAATATTCATTCTTCTGAAAACAAGGCATGTTTCAACAACATATTAGCAGGGACTCCAATAGGGTGATTTTCTCTGGACAGAAAGGACCATTGCCCCCTAAACCCTTATTTTGTAATGTTTATTTTTGTGTCTGTGAAGACACTGGATGCGATTGTTAGATTTGCTTTGGACTTTCCAGCGCATTTGAATCCTCTAGGGATCTTGTTAAAATGAAGATTCTGACTCAGTAGGCTTGCGGTGAGGCCTGAGATTCTGTATTCCTAGCAGGCTCCCCCCGTGATGCTGCTGCTGCTGATCCAGGGACCACCCTTTGGGTAGCAAGGTCTTAAATCAGAAACGGTACAGAGCAACTACACACAATTCCCATTCTTGTGCACTTCTTTAAACTTCTGTAAAATTATGGTGAAGTGGATTTTATTCTTATCCCCATTTTCTGAATGAGAAAACTAAGACCTGGAGAGGGTAGCTTGACTCAGCAGACGTCACTAGCAAGAGGCGGAGGGCGGCTGCCTGGCTCTGGAGCCCAAGGTCTTAAACACTGCACAGTACGACTGGTGAGAATTCTCATGTTCTTGATGAACAATGACATTTCCAGATGTTGGCCTTAATCAAACCAACTTTTCTGGGGAGATATCTTTCGTGTAACACTTTATAAACGTCTGTGGCTGGAATCTATAAATAGCTTCTCAGTGATGCAGAGCATAGAGAGGTTGGCCCTGCGTGCTGCTCTGTAAGGAACTGGTCGTTAGGCATTCCAAACTTTGGTTGAGAGATATTGTTTTTTTCCCTTAGGCCACTCAAGTGGGAGTCAAGAAGGTGGGGCAAACACGACCTCGGAATTTCCTATGCGGAAACCTCAAATTCCAGGTAAGTTTCAAGCTGTGCAGCCAAAAAAAAAAAAAAAAGATACTAAAAAAGCACATTCTTTGCAAGCTAAAGGGTGAGTGAGAGCACTTGGTAGGAAAGAATGGAACTTTTTTTTTTCTGGGTCCCATAAATTGAATGTCTATCCCTGGCCTGCCCCCAAGAATTGGCATGTTAGGTTCTAAAGCGTCCTTCCCAGATGAGTGATCCGTCACCCAGGGGACTCTGTCCCATACCCATGTCCTTCCTATCCTGGTCCAGTTTCTTTTCTGTCGGGGTTGGGGCATGTAAGTTTCTTCTCACACTGCGGACAGTGAGGAGATATAAGGGCCTTTGCGGGGGGAGTAAAAACATTCTTCTGGTCCCCAAACAACTGTTTCTCAAGGGACAGTCTTTCCTGATCCAGACAGAAGAAAAGTGTCCGAATGAGTCACATCGTGTGGTAGGAGGGCTGGGACACCTGGCTCTCCTGAGCATCAAGATTTAAGGCACTTGAGGCAAATTCTTTATTTGACTTGGGCTCAAAATGGAGCATTTCAAGGGGGGAGATTACAAAGAAGAAAGGGTTTTCCCAGGGTTGTAAATTCTCTTTTTAACTTTCCCCTCTTCAGAGGCCTTGGAGCTGAGCCTCCCTCGGGAAAAGGGAAGAATGTAGGGTGCACCTCGCCCCCTTGCCTCAGCTTGCCTGAGCACAGCTGGGTTAGGAGCAAGTGGAGAGAGGGAGTGGGCTGCCAGGGAAGGGGGGCGGCGCAGAGATGCAATATGCAACATTCTTCCCGCTCTAGTGAGAGTGAACAGAAGAGACCAGAGAAAAGAACAGAAATGGGACCACCTGTTGGCCTCCCCACCTCCTGACTCCACCTCCCTCCCCACACTCACCTAACTAGGTGGAGGCCAGGCAGAGGCGGTCCTGAGCAGGAAGTGGGAGGAAATCCAAGACTCCCAAGGGGGAATGGTCAATGGATGACTTCCTATCCTCCTTCGTTCTTGAGCTCTAGCTCGTGGCACAGATACACAACCCACATGGCAAGAGAATGGATTCAAGTTGGCAAATCATATTTTTATCCTATTAAAGCTTGATTGTAAAACCTGTATATAACATCTTATTCATAAGCGATACATGATAGTTGGAGACATTTGAGAAAATACAAACCGAAGGACAAAAATGTAAATCATTTATTAGCTACCCCACCATCTGGAAATGGCATGGTTACCATTTTCATAGATGTCTTTCCCACCATTTTAAAATGTAATTTATATACAAAAATGTAATTGCAGCATGCATGCTGTTTAGTTAACCACCATCACTCTCAACTGGTTGCCCACAGCTTTCCAATGTCAGTAAATATTCTTCTCCTGTTTTCACCATGCAGAATGCAGTGGGTATGCCCTAATTTATGTAACTGATCCCTTACTCTTATATTAGATTGTTTCCAACTTTTACTATTAGAAATAGCACAGCAATGAACATCTTCGAAATGAATTCTGAGGCCCTCTAAATTCTCAGAAGGGGGAATCAGAAGCTGAATCAAAAGCATGCACATTTTGAAGGATAAGTTTTTTTTTAAACTGGTTTTTTGTTTTTTTATTTTTTTTTGTTTTTTTTTAAGATTTTTTATTTATTTATTTATTCGAGAGAGAGAATGAGAGATAGAGAGCATGAGAGGGGGGAGGGTCAGAGGGAGAAGCAGACTCCCTGCTGAGCAGGGAGCCCGATGTGGGACTCGATCCCGGGACTCCAGGATCATGACCTGAGCCGAAGGCAGTCGCTTAACCAACTGAGCCACCCAGGCACCCTTTGTTTTTGTTTTTTTAAGATTTTATTTATTTGACAGACAGAGACACAGCGAGAGAGGGAACACAAGCAGGGGGAGTGGGAGAGGGAGAAGCAGGCTTCCCGCCGAGCAGGGAGCCCGATGCGGGGTTCGATCCCAGGACCCTGGGATCATGACCTGAGCTGAAGGCAGACGCTTAACGACTGAGCCACCCAGGCGCCCCTTGAAGGATAAGTTTTGCCAAATGATCCCCCCCCCCCCGCCTGGGCCCCGGTTGAATGTGCAGAAGTGCAGCCCTCCACAGGGGTGTCCTTTTCCCACCCACTAATGCATGGCCCCCATTTGTGTTTCTTAATAAAATGTAAGGTGGATGCTCTTATATAGGAGAGGAATGTTCCTTTCAAGGGAAACATAAATTTCCTTTAGTCTCCTTAATAATACTGCGCCAAAGGCATTTACAAGTTTCTACAGGTCATTCTACGCTTTTTTGGAGACATGCTTCTCCTGGAGGAACTTGAAAATTCTGACTGGTGATAAGAGTTTAAAATAAGAGGCCTGTTGGGCAGATGCCTATAGCAGAGTTGTTCTGGTATTATCGGCCAGTTGGCAGGACCATTTGGCTGGACTTATCCATGATGCTGAGTATAGTTCTTGTTTGGACCAGGTCAATTTATAAAGTGCATTTTTGTTTTTACAACGTGTGTTTCCCAAGCTCACGGGTGTCTTTTGGTTCACTCTCACCAGAATGGCTCATCATCTTGGCCTCCCTCCTGGCCTTGGCTTTGATTCTTGCCGTTTGCATTGCTGTCAATAGTCGAAGAAGGTAAGGGGATGCACCTCGGGGCCTTTGCTTTGAAAGGACATCACTTAAATGTGGGCTTCATGAACTTTCAGAGTGTAGCCCCTGGAACCAGCAGCCTCGACATGCTGGGAACTTGTTAAAAATGCAGAATCTCAGGCCCTACCCAGATCTCTTATATCAGAGTCTGTGTTTTGACAAGATTCCCGGGGACTCGTGTGTGTAGTACAGCTGAAGAATCCCTGCTCTGGCACATTCTTTAGATAAAAGAGACACTGGGATTATTTGGACCATCACTTTTAGATAGTGTTGAATCTTTCGAGGTTCTTAAATTTGTCAGGGTTAAACCCATGGAGACGCTATCTGATGAAAGTTATAAAATATTTCACCCAGAAGGCATAAAATTATGTACTCATTCATTAACTGATCAAATAGTATTTAGTAAGTGCACTCACAATGCGCAAAAACACTGTATAAAAATCTAGGAATTGGTCATCCCCTTTAGCCTGTCGTGGCCTATAGAACCTTCTAGAACCCTTACCTAAAGTAGGCCTTGGGTTTCTCTGGGGGTTTTTTGTAATGATACTATTTTGTATTTTCTGGAAACTGTAGTTGAAAGGATTCAGGTTATTGCTTAGGAAGAGCTCCCCGACAGTAAGGCCTATGAAATGATGAAGAATTTTCCTTGCAAAAGTCTGAATAAAGACAGTCAAACAGCATATGGGCTGTTTTCATATCCTCAGGGGTCCCTCTCTCTCCTCACCTCAACCAAGGCCTGCCACGTCGGAAGTTATTTAAATAGTACATGTACCTGCCTGATCTGTGACCAGGCTCCAGACATAATATAGCACCTAAGTGAAAGGAAGGAAAAACCTCATTCTAGCAACATGAATTTTGACAGGGCACTCCAAAGTGTGAGTCTAAATTTCCTGTTCAAGATGCTCTAAAGGTGCACTGTTTTCCTCTGAGCCCATGCAGAGGAACACTCCACCGTTTATAAATGTCCCTGGAGCTTGCTTCCAACAAGATAAAAGAATCGTATTTCCAAGGAGGGCTCCCTTTATTGTATCACTAGATCATCTAACAGGCCAGATGAGGCCCCTCGGTTGGGGAGAGGACCCGGAGAACACGCTAGAATCTTTCTTGTTGGCTTCTGGAAAGCAACGGCTAATTCTATGGCCACGTGCAGTGCATATGCAGTATCTCTGGTTATCTGAGGAAACTAGATAATATCACTTTACGCTGGTACAAGTTAATAAAAGTGCCATATTAAAGCCAAATAGCTGTTGTTACCTGTACCTTTGAGAGAATAAAAAAAAAAAAAACTACTCATGATAGCCAACTGTATAAGGAACAAAAACTAGGAAAAGGAATCAGAAAGACCTTCTAGGAGGTTCCTATGACTAAACGGAAAGGGATTTTGTTTGCCGAATTTAAATGACGTGACTTCGTCTTTATACTTTCCCTCAGCCTTCTTGTTTTCTCTTAGATTACTTTTGCTCAATTAAAGATGAATTTGCTAATGTTGGAAATAAGTCCTTTTGTCCCCGGGCCTAGCCTGCACCCCTTCTGCTCACATATACAGTCCCTAAGCCTTGCACACGTCGCCATAGAAACGTTGGCCCCGGATGCTGGCCGTGGGGCCGATTCCTCTGAGAAGCCTCTTAGCGGTCCCCCAGAGCAGCTGGAGTCTGCACCGCGGGGCTGGTTAGCTCACACGGCGCTCCCCAGCCTGTCAGCCGAAGAAAGGGGCCCCTCGTCCCAAGACCAGCTGTCACCCTAGCAACAGGCAAACAGGGACACACGGGATCCGGCACAGCGAGTATCTCACCGGGAAAGTAGCTGCTTGGACGCCGTAAATTACTATGTCCTGATCTGATAATCTAAAACAGATTTGCCACGCAGCTAACGGGGGTGGTTAACGGCTCCACGGGCCCCTTAATGTGTCCTGCGTTTCTAAAGCCGCAAGCCCATTTCCAATCCTCTTAAAGGGCTGGGGGCCTTTTTGCTTTGAACATTACATTTTAGAGAGATCCAGAATCCTATTTGCATCAAAGAAAGTTTGGTGGAAAATAAGGACCCATGGCAGGCTTCCGTTCCTCCAGCAAACATCTTTTGAGTGGCAAGGAAGAAAAGATTAAACACGGAAAGGGTGCCATCCCAGCCCAGGAGAACCTTGAGGTTTAGCAGCAACATTGACTTGCTGGATTTGAGTCAGATGATCTTTATTGAGAACATACTCTGTGCCAGGCACTGGTGTATGAACTTTGGTTAAAAGACGAAAGGGAAAAGCAGTCACTGAAGTTGACGTGCAAGGCTTGACCATGGGCTTCCAGGACAAAGTGACCCATGCGTCATGCATCATAAAGATGCCGATGGAGTGGTCCTATTATTTCTTTAGCTTTTCCCATCCCCGTCATGCCGCATTGTCATCTTATCTTGCTGTTTGTAACCAGAGTCCTTGAATTTCAGCTTTCCAGTGGAAATCCTACTTCATTCCATTTCCTTAAGAGCAGACAATTGTCTTAGGAGTCAGTTGGGTGGGTAGGTATTGGATGAGGCCCAAGAGGGATTAGGTGCCCTTCCCCTAAAGAATTGATCTGATTTGTATGAAGAGGAGGAAAAAAATGTGAGGACCTTATGAGAGAAGATTTCCCAAAGCTGGAATGATTCAAGGATGTCACTCTACTGGCTATGCAGAAAAGGCCTTCACCAGCTGTCAGTCTCATGGGAATAATCTTCTTCCCACATCACGTGGTCACTGCTCAGCTGATTGATGGCCTGAGATTTAAGGAGAAAGGAGGTGAAGACGGGATGCAGTTTGCTGGAGATCTCTGACCTTTGGAGTCAGAAAGTCTCAGTTGCAGATACTCTGTTTATTGCCGTAACTAGTCGTGTAGCCTCAGATGATACCCTTGACTTCTTGGACTGTCTCTGGTTTTACATAATGAAGAGGTTGGCTGGGCGACCTCTGAAGTCCCCTTGCTCTCGTGCTCTCTCGTGTTCTGAAAGTTCTGTAACTAAAAAGAATGAAAAAAAATTAGAACTTGTCTTTTAAAAGTACTTATTAAGGCTTCTGAGTTGGTGATCACGGGGAGGTTCGGGGAGATTGGTGCTCTCACAGAGGCAGGGGATCTCCACACCCTTTCCTCGGCCCTTGCCCTGTGCATCTCTTCCATTGGGCTGTTCCTGGGTTATGTTTTTTTGTAATAAACCGGTGATGTAGTATGTAAAAAAAAAAAAAAAAGTACTTATTAATGCCTGGAGCAACAAATATTGGACTTGTTGTTTATGAGAATCATCCTGTCCTCCTAAAGAAACTCAGATAGCAGAGACACAGAAATCCAAAGGGAAATGGGGGCAGGACAAACCCAAGCACCATACTTCTGAGCCCTACGGATTCAACGTTATCCACTTTTTAAATCCGCTTTTTTTAGAATAAATAACATAGTCCCTAGCCCCCACCCATGCACCAACATTTTTTTTTTAAAGATTTTATTGATTTATTTGAGAGAGAGAATGAGAGATAGAGAGCATGAGAGGGAGGAGGGTCAGAGGGAGAAGCAGACTCCCCGCCAAGCAGGGAGCCCGATGTGGGACTCGATCCCGGGACTCCAGGATCATGACCTGAGCCGAAGGCAGTCGCTTAACCAACTGAGCCACCCAGGCGCCCGCACCAACATTTTTTATGATTATTGACCACTTTCCTACAATGTGTCATTCGACTTCTAAGCCATCCATTAGATCGGCAAATGGGAATTGCTTTAATAAGACTCCTCCCCTCCAAAGAACACCTGAGATACCCATTTGAGAATTTGAAAAAATACAAGCAGACTTCCACCTTCAGCCTTCTGGGCCATCTTCATAGTAAATATAATGACTAGGTGGAAGCAGCCAGAAGACAGGCAAATCCCAAACTCATATGGCTCTGGTTCTATGAACAACTAGAGCCAGTGTTTCTCGAACATTTACTGTGTTCTGGATTGTGTCCTAGGTGCTTTTCCAAGGCCTTGGCTGCCCCATCCCATTGAGTAAGAGCAACAAATAATAACAATAATAGACTCATGTGTCAGTGCTGGGCTGTGTTCCAAGGGCTTTCCACAATCCTGTGGGGTTGGTACTCTTACTGGCTTGATTTTATGGGTAAGAAACCTGAGAGTCGGAGAGGTTAAATGAGTTGCCCCATGCCACACAGCAGTAAGCTCTCAAAACCAAGCCTTCGCGGCCCCTACCCTTGTCTATGTGGACTGCGCCCGTTGTCCCAGCCCCACAGACTTGCTCCAAAGTTCAAGCAACCTTCCCTCCTCCCCTCCTCAAGCATCATGCCAGAGGAGACAGGACCTACCTCCTGTTGAGGAGGTATAATTTCTGTTTCCCCAAATAAGAGATTAAAGTTTATGGCCTTGGCAATTCTAGAGGGAATGGCCCATAATCATGAATAATAGAGGCTTTGTCTCTACAACTCCAAATACCCAGCGGCAAAGTGCACAATTCCGACTTCACACTGTTTCCAAATCTCCAGATGGTTGGCAGCATGAATAGAGCTGGGCAGAGCCCAGGCTTCTGGTCATAAAGGCATAGATTTGAATATTGTCTCTGTCTGTCTTACTAGCTATGTGACCTCAAGCTAGTTACTAAACATCCCCGGACCCCAGTTTCCACTGCTGTATAACTAGAATAACAGCTGCATCGCAGGGTTGTTGTGCAGATTTCATGAAATTATACGTAAAGTGCCTGGCATTCAGGAGGTGTCCAATAAATGCTAGCCCATTTCCCCTCTTCCCCCGCCCCCTTTTGTTGCCATGAGGCTCTGCAGCTTTGCTTCCGTTAAGCAATCTGACTTCTAGATGTGCGGCAGTAGGCTTGTGACCAGACAGAGAAAGCATTGCATCAGGCTGGGTGGGGAGAGGCAGGGACACCATCAAGGTCATGCTCTTCCATAGAAGACCTCCTGTGTTCGAATCTTGAGCAATGTTACTGAGAACCCTTGTGGTATCAGTGAATAGCTTTCCTTATGTAGTTAAGCCTCCTATGTCCAGAGTTATATGGAAGTTACCCAATGTTAACTAATGAAAATCAATACAGCCTTACACGTCTAGAATAATGTTTCATTTTTCTCCGACCATGCAATCAGAACCCTGATAAGGCCAACAAAAGTATCCACTGGTGGAGGAAGTAATGGGACTTGGTTGAATACACAAATCAGAATGATTTATAGTCATCATGTTCACGGTTTATCTAAGTCTGCAGGAACTGCGAAAGTGCCTAAAAAAGGCAAACATTGCCATCTCGTAGGATGAGGAAGGAGAATTAGAACTTAGGAGTCAGACACCGAAGGGCTTGAATCCCAATTCTTTTATTACTTGCTGAATAAGTGGGGCAACGTACTGAATTTTCGGAGCGTAAGGCTCTCTTTACCTGCAATAGGGGGACAATGCTGGTCCTGGCATCCTGGAGTTGTGACCACGGATTCTCAAACTCGGCTGTGCATCAGAACCCCCTTGAGGGCTTATTAAACCACAGATATTAAACCCACTACTAGACTTCTCCGACTCGGTACATCTGGGGTCAGGCAGAGAATGTGCATTTCTAACAAGTTCATAGGTGATGCTTTTGCTGCTGGTTCAGGGACTCACTTTGGATGGTTAACCGTCAGTCAGATGAAACATGCTCAGTCAGACCATCCAAATCTGTCGTGGTGATGTTGACGGTGGTGACAACAATGATGATGATTTGAGTCATCAGAGCACCTTCTCATGTGCTTTTTTTAAATCATTAGGTGTGGGCAGAAGAAGAAGCTGGTGATCAACAATGGCAACGGAGCAGTGGGGGACCGGAAGCCAAGCGGAATCAACGGAGAGGCCAGCAAGTCTCAGGAGATGGTGCACTTGGTGAACAAGGAGCCCTCAGAGACTCCAGATCAGTATATGACAGCCGACGAGACGCGGAACCTGCAGAATGTGGACATGAAGATTGGGGTGTAACACCCACGCCGTGGTGACCTTGGAGAGAAACGGCAGTTGGAGACATAACCCTGATAAGGAGCTGGGACACTTCACAGATGCAATGTGCTACTGATTGTTTCATTGGGGATCTTTTTTTAGTATAAAATTTTCTACTCCTTTTTGTTTTTTGCGTTTTATTTTTTAAAGTCAGGTCCAGTTTATAAAAACAGCATTGCTTTCTGAAATGAGGGCCCAAATGATAACCTGCAAGAATTTGACTGCTCCAGTTCCCACCTAGAAGCCTCCACCCCTGAGGGCATGCTCTGGATGGCTTCTAACAAAAGCCACAAATACATCTTCCTGATCCCCGACCTTCCCTCCACTCCTCCTCCCAGGCAACAGCAGCCAGCTAAGGACATCCCCCAGGGCTAAGAGGGATTGGTCCCTGGGAAGATATTTGAATGGGTCCACATCCCTCCCCTCCTCCTGCAGCCTAGTCCCTGGGCATTTCTTTCCAGTGGGGTAGGGGATCAGAATGTACTGGTTACACATCCCCTTCTACAGAGCCCCTGGAAATTTTTCACATGCTTCTGGGAAATACCCAAAAGGTGAAGCTATTTATCTGTAGGAAGCTATTTATCTGTGTTTTTGAAATATTAAACCCTGGAGGTCCTTTGATCAGTATGATTTTTTTTTTTTTTGGTTACTTTGTCAGAGGCATAAAGGGTTTAAGCTGATTCATAATAAACATCTGTACTTCTTCCACTTTAACCCTTTGTGCTGTGATCCTTCAGTTTTTTTCACCAGCAAGGTCTGGTTCCCAAAAACCCATCAGGAAGATGTGAGAAAGCCCTCCTTGAAAGTCTTCATCTCAGAGCCACTAAGCCCCCCATTCAGGCTCACTCAACCAAATCTCAAAGAGAATCCAGGAAGATAGTGCTGTGTTATCTCTGGGGCTCCAGAGCTTTCTTCTGTCCTAGCACCAGAGTTGTGAGGGGAGGAACCTCAGCTGCTTTTATGTGAGAATGGCCACCAGTTCTCTGCCCTGAAAGGCTGTGAAAAGTCACATTACATTGCATGACCTACCATTTGTGGCACCCCATTTCATAGACACTGACCCTGTGAAGTGATGTCCAAAAACAATATGGAAGTACCTTTTGACCTCTTGTAATGAAAAGAGAAGCCAATGGAAATGAAAGAGAGCATAGACAGTAGCCAACCGATTGCCACAGGTTGGGGAAGGGGGAGGCAGCTGTGTAGATCCTGTCTGAATATTTTTATAACTGTATTTGTTTATACTTTAGCAAGCCAGCTGTCCCCGACATAGTTGCTACTCAGGGTACGTTAAGTGCCTGGGAAGTCCCTCAGAAGGTTACAGGGCTTCCCACCATTGGACTCTTAGCACCAGATAGGCAGGTTTATGACCAAATAAGAGAATAATGGCTTTATCCCTTGCTTGGCAAGTCCTCGGTCTTTAGTCATTGGTTCAGAAGTCCCATTGGTCCTGGAACTTCCAAAGATGCTTTGTAATAGAAGAAATTGAATCTATAAGGCAAGGACTCCTAAAAAATGAGACTGCTCTCCTTATGCCCCCATAAAAAGTCATCTGTTGCCTAAACTGATAGGTTTAACTGGTGATGTTGCTAAGACCAGAGAGAGAGAGAGAGAGAGAGAGAGAGAAAGAAGACGAAGGAAGAGGAGGAAGAAGAGAAAAAGAAGGAGGAGGAGAAGAAAATAGGTCCCACATTAGTCAGGGCTGGGCTTATACCTGGGGCGATTATGAAGGGTCTATTTTTAAAACAGAGGCCCACTTTCTGCACTCATTTCCAACTTCTGTTCTCCCCTCTCCACCTTCATAACCTCCTCCCAATCATGATCTTTGAAAACTTCCTTCTCTTCTGTGAACTTCATTGGCCAGTTCCATACCCAGCTGTCTGGTTTTCCTTTTATTTTCAAGTGGAAAGAAAAGACATGGACATCTAGCCCCTCCGTTTCACAGTCACCATGTCCAAGTGCTCCCTGCTTTCCAAGAGCTTTCCTGGTCTGCTGCAGACACGCTCATTCCAGCTCTTTAGCCACTCCAGGATCCGGTTCAGGAGGGCTATGCCAGCCAGGTTCTATCTGTCCCGAGATTTTCTTCAGGGTCATGGATTGTCTTACAAGTCTCACAGCTAGGGATGGTTTTCCTTTTCTAGAGATTTCCAATAAATAGGCTGAGATAGGTGATTGTTTTCTATTTTTAGAATTTAGTACGATCTTTCCTTTTATTACTGTTGTAGTCCCTCACTTGGATATGCCTCTGTGTTCTCAAATAAGAATGGGAGAGGTCCAGAGCTTCCAGCCCTTGGATGCAATACCCCTCCAATACTGCCCAGAGTTCATGGAATAGGATGTATTCTCTCCCATTTGAAACAATGGCATAGAGAGCTTAAGATGCAATTTTTCCTAAAATTTCTTAAATCTTTTGTGTCTCCTGAGGGCTGTCTTTAACTTAGCACTGGGTGAAAATAAAATGGGACAAGAGACTCCTTCATATCAATATTTTGTAGATTCTAGCCTGGCAGAATGGAATTCTCAAGCAGAACCTCTCAAAGTTTTATATTGAGATCATGAGGCCAAGAATTGATTTCATAGCCAATGTTCATTCAATACTGGTACAGCAGAGGAGTGGGAGAAAGGAATCTCTGACTTCTCTAGAAATGTCAAGTGTACTTAAGAATAAGAATAACGTGGTCCATTTACCTTTATGTATTGGTATGCCTTTCTATAAATCACTTATGTTGAGTTTTCAAAGAATAGCTCATTGTTCATGCATGTACAGTAACCATTGTTACTTTGATTTGTCACAGCACACCCTTCCTCTGATTTTTGTATATTTATTGATGGACCAGTAGTAATGAGGAAAGCATGATATGTATATGGCCCAGTTGAAAGCACTTATTGGAAAACACCAAAAGGCTACTATTAAAAGTCTAAAGGAAACAGACTCAGGAGTCTCTGAATTAAAGGGAATGGAAGTCTGGGAGGGGCCGAGCTGCGATGATCTGGAGGGTTGAGTAACTTAGAACCACAAGGTTAAAGTTTGTGAGGTGACTGAAACTTTACACTCATTTTTTCTAAAAAAAAAAAAAAATCACATGGACTTCTACCACTTGAGGGTCTTCTTTGGGAGAAAGTTTAATTTTCTGTGGTAAGTGGTCCACATAGCTCAAACTAAGTAAGATATCTTGAAGTGTTAGTTCTTTAAAAGCCGAGTACTACTCCCGGACTTCCAGGCAAAGAGAGAAGAGTGAACATACCTCACCTCCATTCTTTCATGCAGGCCTCTGAAAAGACAATGAAGAGATATTCCAAAAAGGTGTAAACCAGGGGGATCAAAGAGAATGGAAGAAGAGACAATAGGAACAAAAATTTGAAGCTGGAGAGAGACAGTTCATTGGTAACTGAGCAAATCTGGAGAAGCTGAATCTTAAGCCAGCAATGGGGAAGTTGAGACAGGTCAGTTGCATTTGTGAAGCAGAACCCCCACCAAAGGCTCAGAAATTGGTAGCATTAGCTACCTCTGGGATGTGCTGGAGAAGATGGGGCTAAAATTAGGAGGATGGCTTTGAAGTCTATTTAAGATGCCGTTGGAACCCCAGATCTCCCTCTTCACTCCAAGTAGCTGAGTGACTGTTCTTTCCCAATCCCAACCAATGGCCATTCTCTGAAGAGGGCAAAACAGAGAGTTTCTGAGGGGCAACAAGGCATATCCGGTTGGCATTAGAAATATCATACTGAGAAGTGAAAACATACATAAGGAAAGTTGAGACTCCCTTGCCTTCTCCCCCCAGCTTGGTTTCCAGAATGCCAGCAGCCAAGCATGTATCCGTCAGGCAGAAGTCCAGTCTTTCTGGGGAATCTGATAAGCCTGAGAGAAAACTCTGAAGATACATGAGCGTTCCCCCAAAGAAATGGCCCAGCAAAGCAAGCTGCAGTGAAGATCACATCTCAAGCCCTGCCAGGCACACAGGGCTCTTAGCTTACATCAGAAGTAGAGATGATTCACAGAGAAGAAAACTTTTAAAAACATCATTAATAACCTCCTTAAGATAAGAGGAGATCATATATCAGTGAAACAAGAACACAATGCTAGCATTAAAAGGAACATTGAGGGAACGCCTACAAAAAAGGAGCTCTTTAAAATTCAAACTCTAGGGGTGCCTGAGTGGCTCAGTCAGTGAAACGTCTATCTTCAGGGTCCTGGAATAGAGCCCTGAGTCAGGCTCCCTGCTCAGTGGGGAGTCTGCTTCTCCCTCTCCCTCTCTCCCTCCCTGCTCATGCTCTCTCTCTCTCAAATAAATAAAATCTTTAAAATAAATAAATAAAAAATAAAATTTAAACTCGAAAGCACAAAGCAAAAAATAAACTCAATAGAAGGTTTGGAAAATAATGTTGAAGAAATACCCCAGAAAAGAGAGAAAAAACAAAGCAAAGGAAATAGAGGAGAAAAGATAAAAGTAGGGAACCGTTCTAGGAAATCTAACATGCAGATAATAGGAGTTTCAGAAAGAGAAAACAGAAAATGAAAAGGAAGGATTCATTCAAGAATAAATCAAGAAGATCTCCCAGAATTGAAGAACACAAATATCTAGACTAAAAGGACCAAGTGAGTGCTTGGTACAATGGGTGAAAACAGACTCAGACTAAAGCACATCATCTTAAAAATTTATCACAATTGAGGCAAAGAGATTATTCGATAAGCCTCTGGAGAGGGAAGATTGATTATACAGAGGATTAAGAATCAGAATAGAATCAGACTTCTCAACAGCCACATAGAATACCATGAAATGGTGCCCTCAAAATTCTGAGAGAAATATTTCCTAGCTAGAACTCGAATTTAGCTAAACCACAAATTAAAAGAAACGGTAGCATGAAGGTGTTTAAATATGCATTGTCTCCAAAACTATCCATCCATTTTCAGACAACTCCCATAGGATGTACTCCATCAAAACAAGGAAGTTACCGAGAAAGAGGAAGGCATGGGACTGAGAGAGCAAAGTAAAGGGAATTCCTGCAATGATGACAAAGGGAGATCCCGGGACGACAGAAACACAGTGCTAGGGATCAATCTGTCCAAACTGAAGTACTGACAATAAAGGAATGGACCTCTAATTAAGAAGAAAATTACATTTTTGGTTCTAGCAATTAGCTATCGGTGCATTAAAAACCACTCCAAAAATGCAGTAACTTAAAACACAAACATTTATTATTTCTTGGGAGTCTGCCCATTGACTGGGTGCTGCTGCTGATCCAGGCAGAGCTCAGGGGGACATGATTATACTCACACATGTGTCTGTGGTTAACAACAGGTCAACGAGAATCTATGATGGCTTCATCAGGCATGGCTGGGAAGACGGGGGGTGGTCTCCTCCTATGTATCCGTCACATGCCCCCAGCTGCCTGATCTAGCCTTGGCGGGGATCCAAGTGATGGTAGATGCCCACAAGGCTTCTTGGGGCCTAGACCCAGAATTGGTTCTCTATCATTCCACCATATACTACTGACCAGACAGATCATAAGGGCAGCCCGGACTTAAAGGGTGGGAAACAGATTTTACCCCTGAATGGGAGGAGCTGTAAAGTCACATTGTCAAAAGTGTGGTTACAAGGAGGCCAGTGATCAGGGTCATTAGTGTAATCAATCTGTGACTGTTGGTTAAAAGATGCTTGTGCTTGAGGGCACCTCTCATGTTTACGCTTAAGTATACACACCATCTTGGCCATGTTGGCAAGAGCGTTAATTTAGGAAACCGTAAACAACTTCATTAATGCCACGTTTATTGGAAAAGGAAGGAGCAGGGTCCTGTGTGAATCTATGTTCCAGAGATTACCCGATACAGTAGGAAGAGCATGAGCTTCAGAATCAGACAAACCTGGGTTTGAAGGCTGACTCTATCACCTAACTGTGCAACCCTGTTCACACATCTTAAATACTTGGAGTCTTAGTTTTCTTATCTGTAAAAAGAAGGACCATGAAAACTCCACGGCGCCACTCTGAGGATTAAATGAGGTAATACTACCTGACAGGGTCTGGTCTACATCAGGTCCTCGAAAATACTAATTCCTAGGTGAATATCAATTCATCTCCCTTATGCACACAGTAGGCACTTAACTTCTCTCTTCACCATCCCCTCCGGTTTCCAGAACTCTAATCAGCTTTTAAGCTCTTAACTTAGGATGCCTGGAAGCAGAATATTTTGGACTCCAAAGCTCTTCGATTTTCACAGAAAGGTTTTTTGCTTCCAAAGCCAGACTAAAGAGCACGGAGTCCCGGAGGCCTATTAGCTTGCATCCCTTGATGAAATCTTGGCCATTCAAGCTGTGGCTGTGGATTAACCAAAGTTAACAGCTCCACCCACAGCTTTGATCATGATTTCCAGAAAGTTGCCTCACCACCCTCCTCCCCAGGCCAAGCCCCTTCCCCTCCCAGTGCCACCCCTTTACCTTGTCCAGGTGTCATCGACACAGGTCTTACTCTGCCGCCTAATTAATTGGCCCATGGGCCTGTCTTTTCCACAAGACGGCAAGCTTGAGGGCAGTATCCAGCTCTGGATCTCCAATGCACAGCAGAAAGCCAAGATCAATAATGGCTTCAACAGTTACCCTCTACGGAGCGCTTACAGATTCCTGGATTTCACCTTTGAGTCATTCCTATAACCCATGAAGGAGAATTCGTGTCCTGTTTTTAACAGGTGAGGCACCTGGGGATGCAGAGAAGTTAATTATTGCCCCTAAGATACACAAGTAGAAAGTGGTAGAACCTGGAATGGAGCTCAGCTCTGTCCAGAGCCTCTGACCTCATATGCTTTGTTGCCTGTAGTCAGAAGTTTGGTAAATTGAACTTGTCCAAGTTAAGAGGTCATCTCGGAATGCTGTAAACCAGGTCAGCATGCCCTCATTCTCTGGGCCTAATGGGGATGAAGGAGGCTTCCAGAAACCACAGAAAGGGCTTGGGAATGAGTAGGTGAAGGTACACTCACCATTTAAGCCATATTGGTGATAGAATTAAATTTAGGAAACTGTAAACAACCTCATAGTTGCTGTGTTTATTGGGGGGGGAAGAAGCAGGTCCTATGTCTATATGATTTTTGCCATGCTGCCTGGACAAAGGGTCAGGGGAGCAGGAAGTCTGGCTGAGCCATCCTTCTTTCTCAATAACCAGCATCCCAGCCTCCAGCCCCATTCCTTGCCTGTGTTGACATCTGGGCTTCAACACCGATAGTTTGCCCGTCAGGGCTCCCCATAACCCGCCCCCTCAACCCACTCCCTCAGGCTTCCAGACTGTTTGCCTCATCATGTGATGACTACTGTTTTCCAGAAGTCTAGTCCAAACCACTTCCTCTTTCCTCACTCCCTACAGAAGAATGGCAAGAACCTCAGGAAAGGCAGCTAAAGTTGAGTTAGAAAATGGCTGTCTTTAAAAGAAAATTCTGAGTACAAATCTAACCCTACCCCTTACTCCCTATATGACCTTACGTAAGTTTTTGAATGTCTCTGGGCCTCGGTTTCCTCGTCTGTAAAATGGGAGCTGTCATTATTACCAGAAAGACAGATGAGCGATTAAATGAGATAATATATGTAAAAATGTGTGAGATATAGCAGATGTACACAGGGTTTTTTCCCTCTTTCCTGCCATCTTCAACATTTTTCTCATGGGAACACATAGTAGGGACCTAGATAGAATATGAACCATGGTGTGGGGGAAGGCAAGGATGTTCTAAGAATTTCTGAGCCCTTCCCACCCTTCCGAGAATTGGGGTTCTAAAAACCCTCCCATTCTGAGATTCCCAAACACCCATTAGAAAGGAAAAGAGGTTCTCCCTCCTGTTTTCTGAGGAAAGGTGGAGCATTCAAGCTTATTACTGTCAACATCTTACTACATGAAGACCCCCCAAAGCGGGGCTTCAGGGTGGCTTTTAAATGAGGAGAGAGAGGAGATGGGGTT